CAGCCTCCAACCACTTTATGCCTCATCTGTTTGTTCATTCTTTTCCTTTTTTTTTTTTTTTTTTGCTTCTTGTTTGTTTGTGGCCATCTGAAATCCTAAAGGACACGACTTTCCACACAAATATTTGAAAGAGTGATTAAAAATCGTTTGGGAAAACAGATTGTTGACTGTTGCTCTTTTTTGTTGATCTGTACATACAAAGACGCTGCGAGGGGTAAAGGCAGACAAACATACTTTAGTTTCTTGCTTCGCTGCGTGCAAAGGTTTGAAGTGGGTAAAAATGGTAGTAATAGGGTGGAACTATTAGGAAAATTTGTCTCAATAATATATACATTGAGGATTGCTATTAAACACCGAAAAATCACAACATGTCACACCAATAAAACAATTAATGATGTCCACTTTTACAACATTTACAGGGAAAGTATGTCATATTTTCATTTTTAATTACTTCTACATCTTGTATTGAATTTATGTGAACATTTGAAAGTGGATTTATTCTATATGTATTATTAAAAAATACAATAGAAAATATCTTATTCATGTTTACCATTTTCAAGCAGATTATTCACTCATGGGGGTTGCCTGTTTGTCAGGTGAAATGCATCTGTTTCTTCCATCTTTATAGAAAAAATATTTATAACAACATTCAGAACTAAAGAAATAGCACCTGACGTTTGCGTAAGTGAAATCAGGCGCAAATAAAATTGTCAAATGTTATTCACAGTGTTTGTGAACCCCAGCAGGTGGTTTGCATCACATGCACGTGTCACGGGCAAGAAGATTTTGGAAACAAAAATGAAAGAGTACCGGTAACTGTATTGACTTCATTAGACCGCTAAGAGTGCACGTTACATACTGCCCCTTTAATACCCATCATCACTTAATCAAGCTACAGCATTGATACTGAGTCCCTTCTGTCACGCTAATCTTTTGCACAAATGATTAGAAAAAAACAAAATCAATTCAATTCCATTTATTTTTGTATAGCCCTTAATCACAACAGCAGTTATCTTGGAGGACTTTACAAAGCTGTCGATTCACCAACAACAGATCAGAGAATCAAACAGTTCAAACACAAGAAATGTCCATAAATGTTATTGAATGTTGAGTGTCCTGGATCAACACGACTGTCCTTACACACTCCTGCATCGGCAAAGGAAAAACTCTGAAAACCCAGTGGGAGAAAATGAGAAACCTCTGGGAGACCCACATTGAGGGAGGGATCCGCTCCCACAGACGGACGGGCTATAGATCCAGGACTCAGGCTGTAGAACGAGTACAGAGGCCACGAGATGCAGGACTGAGGCAGTTCCCTGGCAAAAACACAAAACGCTCATAAATAGCAACGAGTTTTATTTTTTCACGGGTAATTTATTGTTTTAATTACATTTTAATTGTTTTTACTGCATACATAATGTTTTACTTTTTTTGTTTGTTATTTTTTTATTTATTTTTATACATATGAAGCTGTATATTTAAACGTGTTACCTTTATCTCTGTGCAGCCCTTTGGACACTTGATTTATAAAATGTGCTATATAAATAAAGTGGATTGGATGGTATTTGAGAGAGCGTTCTCGAGCATCTATCAACACAAAATACATTATTCCGAGTTTTTGACTTGGTTGTGAATGCAGCACAATACTCAGTGGTAGCCTTCTACATATTTAGCACAATATCACAACAAGTGCCAAGCATGGGATTGCAAGAATTAGCTCAGTCTATTTGTAAAAAGTTTCAAGTGGCTCCAGCAGGCCGCACACAAAGACCCAGATCTGCTTAGAGCCCTTAAATCGCTCCCTCTTTTCTTTTTTCTCCCTTTTATTCATTCGTATTCCGGACCCCTCCCAAAAAACCCTTGGAAGCCCACACCAAAGACCTCTCAAGACCCTTCAAAACGAGCCTGACTGGACTATTATAGTTCGAGAAAGAAAGGTCTTAAATACTTTTTAAGTATACTATTAAAATCCCTGAAGGTGTAGAATTGACGACCACATGTTCTTCTCCAAAATACACAGTTTGAAGTTTGGGTAATCCGTCCATTTTTGAGCCTTTTCATCACTTGAGCTGTAATCGTTTGACATTAACGCTAATCTGTTTTTTGTTCCTTCTAATCGGTCTGCTGTTGTTCTTGGTTATTTCTTCAGTGAATTACAAGACATTTTGGAAATTTGGCTCACAATGATAAACAGTGGATTAAGGATTTTCCTTCTTGTTGACTTGTCATCGAATGTTATTGTGTTGTTTTGGGTGGTCCAAATACAGAGCCTTTTCTATTGAATACCATGTTTTCTTTTGCTGTTGAAAAATTTGACAAAAGCGAGTGGTCGGACATAGCAGTACTAACTTCTTCTCATGGGTTCCCTTAGTAGGTTTTGTGTGTAAAAATGCATATTCTTACCCATATTATTATAACATTCAGCAGTACATTACATTATCACTCAATGGGCCCTCTGTCTGTTTCATTTTTAGCAGAGGGGAGGAGTGAGGTGCAAAGGAGCATTTTTATTTTTATTTTCTTATTTGATTGTGTGTGTGTGTGTATGTAATTAGCTTTTCTTATCCTTAATGCTCTGTAAATTGCTATGTACTGTATGTTCGTATTTATGTTTAGGACACCCTCGAAAAGGGGTTTGCCATAAATAAACTCAAACCCAAACGTTTGACTCTAATCTAAAAAATAAAATGACGAATGCGTTGGCTTTGAATCAACTTTTTCTTTGAATTGATTTGGCTTCAATCCATCGTGACTTCACCAGTAAAATGAATATGGATAGCTTTTTGAAATAGACCAAACTTCTGCTACAGAGAGTCGCCTGAGCTCCATTAGTGACATGATGGAAGTGGCCTTATTGTTCACTCACGGTTCACTCGCGCTCTGTGATAAACAATATAATAAACCAGAGAAAGATGTGGTGAGTCCTGGTTATAATTGGACAGATGCCTTTTAGACAGATGCCGTTCTCCGCTGGCCACGATCAAGATCATTATAAAGACCTATCTGTTTGCAAGAATTCAATATTGTTTTTGGTCGAATAAAGCGATATCCAACAAGCAATTCTGACTAATTAGATGTTTTATTAATGCAATTTGTTTAAGCTTATTCAAGTTTTCCTCGTTTTCAAGACTTTTAAAAGGTCAGCTCTGGCTCTGTCCGGGAGAAAGAGGGTTACAGGGCATTCTATATATATCATTAGTTCATTTGCAAATACAGTACACATACATTATATTAGATTTTGCTTATAATTTGCTCTTTACCAAGTCATTTTTTAAAAAGCCAAATCTATTTCAGTACCATACAAACTTGATGGCAAGCCCAAACAAGAGTGGATAGCACTCTTGCTTGGGTCCTGGGTTCGAATCCCGGTCAGACCAGGGCCATTCTGAGTGGAGTTTGCATGTCTGCGCAGGTCTGCAAACTCCACTCAGAAAGACCCTGTTCTGACCGGTATTCGAACCCAGGACCTTCTTGCAGAGATACTTGTACGGTCCAAAAATAATGCAAACAATTTCTTCTTATAAACCGACCTGATTGCTTTTAATTATTAATGTATCTGATTAGACGGATCTATTCACACAACGAAAATCCGGCAATGACTTTTCTATGACCATAAATAATTATAAGTAAAAATGTCTTTCTACAAAAGCTAGAGAGTAAGTAAGAAAGTGCTTTATTTATATAGTGCATTTTTTCTACAGGCCAAGGTCACCCAAAGCGCTTTACAAACAAAGCGTTCAGAGTTAAGATAGTATGATAACTGATACATAATACAATATCTGAGGATCGCTGGTCGCTTCAAAAACGGTAAACCTCCCATCGTGTTTCATTGTCCACTTTCCTCAGTCTGAAACATGACATCATCAAATCCCATGAAGCCTTGTTGCCTCGATACTTAACAATAATAAATTTCTATGAAGACAAGAGCACTGTGTTATTTCGGTCACATTGGACTTAACCAAATAAAATCATTTGAGAGATTGCAATTGTTCAATTAAGATTCATTAAGGCTTTGTGGTTGGCTGAAAGCAAATGGGCCCTCACTTACTGTATCTCGGGGCGCGCGGGTCGAGGAGCAGCGGAGAATGTGATTGGTCGCTCACGGCAACAAGAGTGGACCAAAAGCAGACCTTAGGACCTCTGCAGCCTCCTCATCCTCCTCATCGTCCTCATCCTCCCATCTCCACAGCTCCATTTAGCTAACACAAGCGGCTAAAGGACTGCACGGTCGTACTTCACAAGTCCTCCAGTCCAATCACTCATTTATCCTGAGAGATTTTATCACTCTCCAGAGAGAATCATCAAGAGGCATGAGCAAAGTACGGGGTTTTGAACCGGCAACCAAAAGTTGCAAAGCTTATTGGCCTGAATAATGTCATCATCTTTAACAGGCGGACGATTGTGTTTCAACAGCTGCATATAGCCTAGTACGTTTTACTTGACGGATCACAAAGAGAAAAGAAGTGCCCATCCCTGGTCTCATATATTGGTTTCATTATGGAAATAAATTTACTTTTGGACAATATAGTTTACCTCAATCATTTGGTATATCACTTTTGAGTCACTATATGAACTTGAAGCATGCTTGGAACTGAAATATATCTTATTGGGGCATCTCTATCCCTTGGTTTGAGGCACTTTTACCATGAAAAAAAAATGGAAAAAATAATTATAAATAATGGTTCCCGCACACTACTGTCCTTGAAAAAATAATGTTTTATTGGATAATGTTACGTTTCAGTCCTGAAACCTTCATCAGGCAAATTCAGGCACTTTTACCATCAAACTGCATCTCAACCATTTTGTAAAAGCCTATCATGTATCAACTAGGGGTTCAGAGACAAATTATTTGACATTAAACACATTGTTTGTGTCATTAGTGCTCCAACATTTTAGAAAAAATTACATTGCTTTCTTCCAGGAGTGAACATTAAAAGGTTATCATCAACAATTCACATGGTTTTTTTTTATTATTGTAAATTAACACTTTTGACTCCAAGATGCAGAGCCAGAGGACATCCAGTGGTCAGGGCAAAACATTTTTTTTTTGTTCTGCAAGACCAGCTTTACTCCGATCTGCTCTAATCCCTCCCACTTGAACCTTAGTCCATGGCAGTGCGCATGCCAACAGATTAGCACAATGCGTAAAAGATAATTCAGCTATAGGGCGGACTGTGATCTCTGTCAAATCTATGAAGATACCTACCCTCGCCAAACCCAGATTAAGTCCACAGATCCGCAGCCTTAGCCCCTCTTAGGGCAATATTAGCATTACCCCGCCATGCTTTAAATATATATACATGTGATACGAAAAACAGATAAAGCTCAATTTGAGTGTTGCAAAATCTGCCTTAGTTGAGAGAGACGGGATATCCAGATTGAGATGAGACCAAGAGAGAAGCGGTAATCCATATTATGTGCTGCAGAGAGGGAATTATTTAAGAGTCTCTTTGTTGCACTCTTTTTGGCAGTGGTCATTTAGGGACGTGAAAACAGAGCCAGCTCCATTCTGAGGCAGATTATCTGATTTCAATTAAGAGGCTGAAGATTTGAGAATTATGATTTCCACAAATCTAACAAAAAAAGTGAGTGAGTTTTGACAGAAAAGAGGAGGTAATCGCTAAATCACATGAATTTGGCATAATAGGTTTCAGACTTATTTGAAAGTAGTTGATTTGTTTCATCGCAAATGGTAATCTTAAATCCAACATGAGAGAAAGCTAAATTGGTGCATAAAATGTAAACTCATATTTTTATAGAAAGATTACAACTTTTTATTTCTGGCTGGCTTTTAATATTGGCAGCTTATATGCAATTTTCCATGTGCTGTTGCATTTCCTGAGGTCTCTTGGCTCATCCAATTCACCTGCAGTAGACTGACTCATGCAACAACATAGATAAACAAGACCACTCCTCCTCTGGTCTCACAAGTTTGGGTTTGGGGGCCTTAAGTTGCCAGACTCTTGCTTGTGTTGTTCCCAATGCAGATAGTTGGAGAGTGCGCTGTGTTCCCCCAGCGACAGACTGTGGCCCCTCTCTGCTGTGCTCAAGGGCCCTTGAGGCGGCCATTATCTGGACGCCCGCCTCGCCGAGGCATATGGGTAATTACTGAGCTAATAGAGTGATGGAGGGAGAGGCACAGGCAGGAGCCTAGGCCAATTAGATGATGCATTAGTGTTCTGTCTTTTGTAAGCACCTAATGTGTGGGGAAAGGCTGCGCGAGATCGAGAAACGTGTCATTTCTGAAGGGTCAGGATCCTTGTGCAAATGCAAACAGTGTCTCTCTCCTTCTCTCTCACATGCACACACATGTGACAGTGTGTGTGTGTAACTGTATCTCAGACTTGTGATCCACACACACTGATTACAGCGCTTTGTTTTGCTCTTTTCTCTAAGTGTCTGAAAAGAGTGTGAAGTCCTAATTATTACACACTGGTTCTGCTTCACATGCACACACACACTCCGCAAACACACACACACACACACACATGAAGCAAATGCAGATGAGTCCCAATAAACCAGGAGACCCTGCCCAGTCCATTGAGGTCTGCTATGAGAATCCACTCCATCAATTACATTAAAGAGCTGCCTAATGACAGACACAGCTGTAATCACACTCAGCTGAAGCATTTCACACCCACGTCTTTGTTTGCTGCTATTATCATCCGCCACGAGGAGACAAGTCTGATCTGGAGTATCATCACATTGTTTTGTGCTAAGAATCTGCTTTTGTCATTGTCCAGCTTTCTAAAACACACTTGTCCAGTCCAGCTGCAGAGGAACAGGCCCAAGAAAGAAGAAACCCACAGAGTTTGTCAGTTGCCTTCTTGTGCTTTTTAAATATTTATTTTGGATTGCGATTTCTTCTTGCCTTATTATTAATCGCATGTGATGGCTTTTAGATAACAATTATGCAGCCAATAACTTTTATATTGGATTCGCTTTTTCCACATTATGAAAGTTACACATCGTCATTGATTTCATCCCTATGGACTTTATAGGAAAAAGTTTAAATTACATGCAAATATCCCATTCAATCTCTGAATGATCACACTTTTGTAATCAGTACAGTGCGGCTAAAGGGCGTGCTGGACTAAAGCATATGATTAACCCGCTCCATGGCATCTTTGTTAGCCGCATAATAACTCCAAGGACCTCTGTTTTTTTCCATGCTCCCCACTTCGACAGCAACCTCTGTAACCTGCGCGGCACAAAGCGTTCACCGCAGCCCAATAGCCCGTAATAGCCATTATTATTATTTCCAATTACAAAGAGCACAGCTTATTATCAAACAAAGGATGAGATTTAGTGATATGATGAACACTTCCTGAAGTATTCTGTTTTTTTCAGTCGCCCGGCATAAAAATTGGTCATTTTAAAATATTTGACCTTGCAATGGCGCGCAAAGTTGCTCTTAATTGTGCATAATTTGAGGTAATCTTTGATGAGCTAAGTTGCCGTTAAACAAGGGAGGTGCTTTTGTTGTTTTCTGATCTTCATAAAGGGGCTTTGGTGAAGTTAAAAGATGCTCCCAGACTGCGTCACCTTGAGGAGTTAGCTGGAGGCAATCTTCACAGAGGCCATGAATAAAAGAAACAAAGGAATAGAAGCAGGCGTTAGAATATGTTTCATATCACCCAAGTGGAAGATTACGATGCAGAGGTGGCGGTCTTGCATCAGAATCGACGAGGGAAAATATACGGGTACATTCGACACAAACTGACAGATTGTTTACGGTACAAAAACACAAGAAGCAGAAGGCAAAGAGAAAGCCTGCTTCTACAGTAGATGTAACAGAAATGCGTTGGTCTGTGTTAGTGTTTCTCAAACTGTGGTTCTCGTATCACCGGTGGGACTTGTTCTAGTGGTACCTGGCTTCAATGCTCAATTTCTAATAAGTAAGTAAGTAAGTAAGTAAGTAAGTAAGTAAGCTTTATTTATATACCGCCTTTCACAGACCAGAGTCACAAAGCGGTTTACAATTGTTATTTTTTGGGCACTTGTCCTCTCACTCCACACAGAGATGGGAGCGGGGTCGCCGAACAGGAGGCGCATGCCAGACCTATTGTACATAATGACGTTGGGATTCAATTTCTTTTCAAGTGTGTTTGTATTATTTCGGATGAGTCCTTATTTCTGGAAAGGTGGAACTCAAACATTTTGAAAATTCCATTTACTCAACTGTAATTCAACTTACAATGTGAAAGTAATATACTGTATGTCAGACTTATTACACGCAAAGTGAGATGTATCAAGTATTTATTTGTTATTATGTAGATAATTATCAGTTGCAATTAAAACATCTCAGGAAAATGTTATATTTTGGAAATGGACGGTAAGCCAGAATCATTAAAGTTTTGCTGTTAATGAATCTATATGCTATATTGGTTTCACTTTTTAAATGAAATGACAGAAATAAATGAGCTTTTGAATGATTCATAGTTTCCGAGTTTCACCTGTGTTTCTATTTTGATCCCAAAAAGTAATGCTTTTGATGCAATATACTTATACTGGTTCCCGGGAGGCAAAGTATTGTCGTAAATAGTTTGCATGATGGCCTGTATGTTCAATTGAAAAGCAAGCTGAGAATGTGGACCTGAAGTAGTTGTTAGTTGCAATATTATTGTAAACAACCGCCAAGATAAACTAAATATGTTGTTTTTACTCTAAATGTATAGCATGAACAAAAACCTTAGAATATCTTGGATCTCTCCCCTCCTCCAGATCTTTCTCCTTAATACAGTGAGCAATCCAGGGTGAGTCTGGATTGTGGGAGCGTCGGAGCCTCAGTAGAAACCAAACACATGCTAATGCGCGACCTGGCTCTCCAGCATCACCTCGCGCCATAGAGATCCTGGGCTCTCAAGTACAGCCAACCTGGTCCTTAATGTATCAATGGGAGGCCCTCCTCTTCCAGCCATCCTTCACTCTTGCAGACAGAGAAAGCTCCTCTGCTTCTTCTATGCTTCCCAACGACCTGATGACCCGTCTCATCTCCTCTTCTGCATTTGAGAGCTCTTCAGACGTCTACTGAGAAAGAGCAGAAGCCTGTGAACCATATAAGACAGTGGAGACCATGTGTGCAAAATGAGAAATGAGAGACGTGATTGAAAAGCTGAAAGTAAAAGGTATGCTTGATAAAGGCCCCAAAGGTTATGGCTGTAGTTCTTACATTAGCATGTGATGGACTGATATTCTCTGTCATGCTAATCCTGTGTCTTTGTGATAGCCGTGGCATGCTAGCCCTTGTCTCCTGTAGCCAGTGCGGATGGCCGATCAGGGGGCATAATAAGGGGGTAAACAGCACTGTTGTCTAAAGGGATCACGGTAGAATACATTGTTAGCATTAGCATACATTAATTATTCAGCCCTCCAAAAGGTGCTAGCCATTTCCCAAATAAGCCTCTGTTGTTGTTTACAGACAGGGAACGCTTCCAGGAAGCTGGACACATGAAAGGAAAACAGTTAAAAGTGGTTCTGCCATCACCGCGTCTGCAGCCCCTGTGGCATTAACAATCAAACATTCTGCTTTTCCGAGTGATTACTTTGTCATTTTGAAGTCTTGGATGGGGAAAAGGAATAGTGGTAGAGAGCTGCGCCAGAATTTCCTGGAGGTAGCATATCTCTCAAGTCTCCACAGGGGCTGGATAGAGGCTGGATAGAGGCTGGATAGAGGCTGGAGGAGGCTGGAGGAGGCGCTTCTCTTGCGTGTTTATCCACAGTAATCAGGAGTCGGTGGACCAGGAATGGGAGCTTGGCAGTGTGGGGACCCTGCCACATTAGAGAGGAATGAATAGCAACGCGCCAAGCCTGGCACACCAACGACTACACTGCACCCTTACCGATTTTGTCATAACTTTTCAAAGTGGCAGATACGCTGAGACAGTTGAGAGGCAAACTGGAACATTGTTTGTAACATGTTTTTTTTTCCCCAGCTTGAACTTTTAGAGAAAAGTGATGGTGTAAAAACAAAAGAAACGGTTCGGAGTTGACAAAGAGGAGAATAGATGGTATGCGAACGACAAGCCACCATCTGCTCTGGAGAACGACCAAAATCTTGACACACTTCAGCAATCCCACAATCCCCTGCTCCAGGAGCGTTCCAGGCACCCCATTCATGCGCTACTTTCACTTTCAAAGTCTGCGCGATCCCCCCCCTTTCTCTCTCCTCCTCAATTAAGTCATTAATTCTTTTCTTCGCCCCCTCTTAATGACCGCAGAGGCACAAACAAGCCCCAGTCGCTTCCTATTGAGGCTCTCTGATTGGGCATAATTGCTGTGAGTTCCCAAGTACAGGGAACCAGCATGAGGATGGCATTGTTTTAGGCAGCGGTTAGAAGAGGCCAGTTCATTTACACGCAAAAGAATGTAGATTATATAGGCAGAGTCTGTTGTTGCAGGCCACAGACTTTTTTTTGTCACGAGACACATTTGGATGTCTCCTTACATCCAAATGTGTCAAAACATACAACATTGATATAAAACAGGAGATAAATCATTTTAAATTATTGTTATGTTAATATTCCAACAGTACACAGTTTACAATTTGTTCCATATCCACAAAGACCTATTTTCCTTCTGCGAAAAAGTCTAACTAAAGCTTAAACTAACTAAAACTTAAACATTTTCTTTATATGTCTAGGCTGGACAAGAATAGACATGTTTGTTCCTCTGTTGACTATTTTCTATCAGTTTAACTAGTTTTAGCTGGTCCAATTTGTTGAAAAGGGTAAGACTTTTAACTTGAATTGGAATATCTATGAATTGTTTCTTTAGCTTATGTAGCTTATTTGTATCTAAAGATAAAATATTGTGGTCTGTTGTGTGATCCAGTATTGTTTATTCCACCATTATTCTGGCATGTGTATGTCCAGTTTAAGGAAGCGTTGGAATGACATTTGACTGGAGCTGGCTTTGTGATAATCGCTAGCATCCAAGGGCTTCCGAGAGAAGCCTCCACTAAGAAAGCCCTCCAAGAGACAGAATTCCAACATTCTCACAGAAATCAAACCGTCTTGTTTGGCTAGTTGTGCATCATGTTCCCATCTGCAAAGAGCGTGTTTTTGGGACCTGATGACGGGGGAGGGCCAAAGAGCAGTTTAGATGGATCTTCTCAAAATTAGTCCATCTTTATCTCATTTGAGCAATAAATGTATGTTTGAAATACTCACAGATTGTTCCATGTTTAGATGAAGAGCAAACAGAGCTCAAGAGGAGGACAAACACTGCACTACGGACAGATAAAAGAGTAAATCTCCAGATTAGAGATTAGCCGTAGTGGCAGATTTAAAGGGCTGTCTGGTCCAATGCCAGCGTGCTCAGGCATCTCTGTGACTCCTGATGTCCAGGACGGCGAATAGCCATACCAGTGCATCCCAGTATCCTACCTATGTTAGCTTCCTGCTGTAATGAAATGTCATAAAAATAGTTTAAAAAGTATGTCAATGGCTCATCTGATAATTCTATTTAGAGGTTGATGTCTTTGGTATGTCCATTGTGAGCTCCACATGTTCACTAGAAGTTCAGGGAGGGAGGGGTATTGCTAATGCTAAAGTGGTAGTAGTATCATGCTGTGATATTAATGTAGCCTTTGGCCTGATGTTTATCTTTGATGTTTTAGGCCCTCTAAGCACATCTTATTGGGTACTAATTCCTGTTTTTACATGGGTGTAAGTAAGCTGCCATAATCAGCCTGTGCCTAAATGTGTAAAATATGTAAAATGTACTACGTCAAATTGCAGTTAGACACACTTGATATAAATCCTATTGATGCAAAGCTTAAGTTGGACTCACGCTGAGCATCTAAACCAAAACTAAGCACAAGTTTTAGTGCTATTTAACCATTTTATATCTGTTAAATCTGCTTGGAAAAATGTTTGTTTAAAAAGCCTTTTCCAAACAAATCTCTAATAATCCATATGTCTGCTTTTGCTGCCTGTTCATTCTATTGTACATTCCAACACGTACATGTTTGCAGCTTGTATTTACCATTTGTCCATAAAGGCCAGATTTGTGGAGTGCATGATCTCTCCCATGTACACATTCCCCCAGCTCAGCTCTGAATGTCTGCAACTCCTCCAAATGAGCTGTTAGTTTGGAAAGACTTCCATGTCTTGGTATGTTTGCAGTTGTGCCATACTCATTCCGTTTCCAGATGATAAAAGAGCACTGTTTAAAAACCATTAATCAATACATGATTTTCAAATCAAAATCATTTTTCTTTCACTTCACAGTTGTGGTGTTCTTTAATACAATCTTTGTTTGTGGTTATTAACTCGAGCAAAAAGTTGTATTGGTACTTTTGCAACCCATTGTAGTTTCTTAGGACATAGAAACTTGAACCGTATCAATTAAACTCTTGAGATGATTATAGAAACTTATAGGCATGTATTTAAATTCATACAAATGGACGAACACTTGTGAAGTTGATGCATTTGGTTTATCACTTCTGTTGTCTGCTTGGTCCTGAATTATCTTTTATAAAACACTGTAAAACTCTAGCTAAGACAGGGCCTTGGACAAAGAGAGCTTCTGGTTGCTGTATAATTCTTGTGTAAGAGGCTTACAGACCAGTGGTGCTCTGATATGGGATGAGATCTTGGAGAGGCGTGTCTTTGGACCCTGGAAGCGGTGGCCACTGATTGGAGAATAGAGCACTTGGACAGAGCCTGTCCTCTGGGGTATTGCGTACACCCCAAAAGACGCTGGGACACAATGAGAAATCACAGCTCTTTCACTCTTCGTCCATCTGCCCGCCATGGAGCGTGCTCAGTGTGTGCCACTTGGCCAAACTCTGTCCCATCAGCCACCGCAAAACCCCCCCGATCCAATCACAGGGAGCAGACCTGGGCCAAGACCATGAAACGGAGAGCCAAGGAACGGAGCAGAATCAACAGCCCATTCTCCTAAGATCACACACACACAACACACATGAACAGGACCAGGCCAAGAACAGACAAAGAATGGCTGAAAATGGCAGATTTAAGGCTGGGCACAAATGCTGCACTGTCGCATCTTTGCTTCAGCCCATCCCAGTCCAGTCTGATCGCTTCTGAAAAGATAGAGATGAAGATCTCTAATGTGGAGAAGGACAGAGCGACGCACAGCCTTGTTTGGTCAGATCTCGGCCTCTCCCTTGTTGCCTGTTAATTGTGTGAGAGAAGGTCATCAGTTGCAGTGCATTAGAATAATGGAAATAAATGGCAGAGACCTGCGGATGGCAACACAAACCATCTTCCCCATTTGCATGGCTGCGTGCTCTGGGACAATTATGTCATTATCACAGACCTCGTGTCATTTGTGAGTGTGTGTGTGTGTGCTGTGACAGGTGGGAAAATGAACCAAAGAAAAAAAAGACTCCATTTTGCTTATTAATTTTGTTCTGATTGAAAATAGTCTAAAAATGCATAAAAATGCATTCTTAAAAACTCAATAAACTGTAAAAAACATTCTTGCATACAACATACTTAAAACTTTTCTTACGTCCTGGCTTTGCTGCAAAAGCCTAAACATAGAAGTTATAGAGTTTTAGACCAAGCTGCTCTTTTTTTAATGCTGCATTTTAATTGGTGTATCACATATTTTTTCACTTACAATACGTTTTTTAAAAAGACTGTAACCGCCTGGTGCTGGTGGCAATGATAATAGCTTAATACAGTAGATATATTTATCAACGTACTGAAATCTTACAAGCTATAGGGCTTAATCTACTTTTATTTACAATCACAATGGACAATGAACTTGACACAGACATGGAAATTCCCATTTACCCACTTCTCTTCACTTTTCTCTTTGGACTTTGGCCTTTACCAGTCCAGGACCCAGGTGACCCAGACAGAGCATTTCCTTCATGTTATTCTCATTGTCACTCTCTTCCCCTCTCAAACTTATTACATCATATATGAACTAGAATCAGGAAGACTTAGGAAAACATGAAAACGCACACAGTGGAGTGAGCTTTGACCTTCAGACATTTCCTGTTGCAATCAGGAGGAGATACAGTATGATGCTTTCTCTGCTGCCTCCTCTGTCGTACAGGTTATTTTAATGTTTTGCTTATCCAGGAGAAACAGGCTATTTTATTTATCATATACTATCTCAAATAATGGATCCTGTTTGATGAGTACTGTTATTTACTCCTTTTATTCTGCTGTAATGTTATCGTATCTTAATCTATACCCAGCTTTTATGAACCATTACATCTCCAAAGTTGAAGAGCTAAAGCAATAGCCATAGATGATGGATTGATATTTGTTGTAGACTGGAACAAGAGTCGACATGCCAGTTTGGGGACAAAGACTAATTGATGTTTTTGTTTTTGTTATTTTTGCATTCCATGTTCTCATAAAAATGTACTGAGTGACAAACCACTTTTAAGTTTCAGAATTTTGCACATACTTTTTCCATATACGGAAACAATACATGCCTGTAATATGATTACTAATACACACATTATCCTATTTATCCAAAAATGTATTTCTGAATGTTTGAATCAGCTTGGAACTGAAAGCAGCCATTAAAAATACGCAGGGCTATTCATTTCTGTACTATACTAAATATAGTACATACACATTACTGCATACACGTAACAGATAAGAGTTTTTACAAAGAAAACACAGCCTTTGGAGTGTCCAGGGCTGGGCTGGAAAGGCCATCTTCTGCCCTGTCACCACAGCCAGTCTAACCTCATGAGCCCGCTGCGTTCTCCCCTGCTGCATTTGTTAAGTAATAGCCTTTTCAAACGCACACAAAGTACATGCTTTGATAGCACCAGGCGGATCACTGCAGTATCTAAATGAAAAAGATTAGTACTGACATGACAAATCTGAGCAGTCCTCCAACAAGAGCCCATTATATCCATCAACAGTCTTCAGGTCCGTGTCTGTGTGTTGGACAACATGCATTTAGCTCATAGCAGCAGGCTTTGTGGAGGAAAAGGTGCGAGGTCCCTTTTTTCTATGAAACCTCTTACTGCGCCATAATCAGGAGTGATAATGCGGCTCATTCTATGCTAATGTGTGTGTTTTACAGCAATCAGGCGACAGGTGATGATAGCTCATGCGCCGAAAGAGAGAGAGAGAGACCTGTAGTGTGTGTGTGTGTGTGTGTGTGTGTGTGTGTGTGTGTGTGTGTGTGTGAGAGAGAGAGAGAGAGTATGTGTGTGAGTGAACCAAGTGTGGACGCAAGGCACCATTAGTGACTTCCCAGGTCCTCTTCAGGAATACAATGGGCGGCCAAATTGCTTTAATGGAAAAAGGCTAATGCGAGACACACACGCCACCACACCAGCACAACGCCTTAGCAAATCACTCAAGCCGCTGAGAGGCAGAGAAAAACGGGGAGGATATTATCACTTACACTTGAAAAATACAGATGGAGGAGAGAGAGGATATAGACAGCGAGATGCTCCTCATCCACTTACTTCCACCCACGAGAGGCAGTAGTTTTCCAAAACACAGAAAGACCCAGGTCTCGGATGACTCCTTGCTCAAACACTGTTATAATTTAGCCGTATAAAACAAAAGATCTGGCAGTGCTTTAAAAAAAATATAAATATACAATCAAAGAAGGTGTTTTCATTGCTTTTGTTGAGCTTGGTATATGCACTGCGCTTTCACAGACAATCTCTGACTTAGACTAGATGCAATGGTTCAACAAAGACATAACTTGGGCGTAGGAGTTTATCATCATCATCATCATCATCATCATCAAACTCTATTACAGACTTGTGGTCCAGAATAAGACACACAAAACAACATCAGAAAAATAAGTCTCACTCCTCAGAGCAAACAGCAGTAACGATTCAATACATGTTATAAATATGGAGAAAAACTCATACGTCATGAAATCAAACGGTCATTTGTTTTTAGCCTATTTTTCTACTCAGTTATTGATTGAATAATTTACAGTTCATTATGAAATGGGTAAAGCGGTTCATGCCAGCACGTAATGAAATATTGATATGTTCTATAACATGCTATAATAAATTATTCTAACATTAAAGTTCCCTTTCAGACGATGCGTGAACTCAGGGGGACTGTGCTGGCTCCAGTTAAAACCCGGCGGGAGATCATGTAGGACTTACTGTTGTTCTGCGTGTAGATAAAAACGCATATTTTTTCTTTTGCTTTTCGTACAAACTGAGCTGACTCATGATTTTTTGTTTGGTGTCTAATTTGTCTTTTTTTGCTGCTTTTTGCTGTGATATTGTGTCTTTATGTTTTATCCCTTGATGGCACTTTGGGCTCTTGTAATATTTGCAATATTTCTTTATTTTTCATGTATTTAAACAGACAAAACCATTACAAACAGAATACAACGTGTGTGTATTGGTAAATGCGTAAATGTGCGACATAAATATACTTGACTTTTACCTTATTTTGTCTTTTGTGTTGATTAAATATGTTCACAGATGTAGAGATAATATTAAGATTAAAGAGATAGTGAGGAGGACTTTCTACACAGACACACTTTTGCATTTTTAACTTATGTAACTTTGATATAACATCAACGCTGTATCATTTATAAATACTAATATCCATTTATTCAATCACAATTAACCATTTCTCATTTTGTGACTTCAGTGACATGTGTGAAGCAAAAAACAAAAGCTCATTACAAGAGGAAATGTCACTTTTGCCTCTAGTGCTCATTTACATGCCAGAATGAAAGCCACACTTTTATAACAGCTGGCATCCTGGGCATCAAAATCTTCCCCAAGACAAATAACGTGAATTAGCATAACTTAAATAAACACCTCACGTGGGCTCTTTTCTTTCAGACAGGTCAAACAGACGGTCCCGGGTCTCTCTGCTCCTCTGTGCCCTGCTCAAGGCGCCAGCATCTGTTTGACTGCAGGCCATGCCATAAGGTCCCAGGCTCCAAGCATCCGGAGCTCCCTCAAGATCAGCCCAGGACCTCAACCTCTCTCCACAGCGGGGAACGGATATGAGTCACCCCCCCTTGTCTTTTAATGTAAGATATTATATAATACAAGCTTTTTTTTAATTGTCATTTCACTTTGCTGAACACGTAGATATTGTCTCAGGGAATAAGTGGCTACTGGATGTGTGTGTGTGTGAATAATTGGTGGTGGTTGGGAGGGGCCAATGGCACAAACTAGATTCCTCCCTTCTGCCAGTGTGTCCCAGGGCACCTGTGGCTATAATAGTAGTATTAGAATAATGTATATGAATAATGCCGTGTGAAGGGTGTCGAGAAAAAGTTATTATGTTTTTATGGCTGCGGAAAAATTGTGCTGTGGCAAGAGCTCTGGTGTGTACTATCAGGAGCACACTGGAGTAGAGTCTTGGACAGTTTTTCCAATGTGGTTTTACTGCAAGTGGCAAATAAAATATTGAATCTTGAATACAAAGATACATATAAAGTTACTTAAAAATGCAAAAGTAGATTTTAAAAGACAGTGTTGTTCAGACTATATTTTTTACATGGGCCATTGTGTGCTTGAAGAACTGTGTATAGTAACCACATGTACAAACACAACATGTACAAAAGACAACAAAAATAGATAATTTTTAAAAATATATAAAGTAATGGTTTTCTTTCAAAAAAGTGTACGTAATAACCAGTGGAAACCTCATTGAGTTCAATCGTTGGCTTCCTTCTCTGTCAGTTAATGTACGATGTCACCACGCCACACCTCCCTCTCCTCCTTCAGCGGCCTGCGTCTCCCCCAAGGCCCAGGCAGAGGCTGTCATCTGGTTGTTAGTATGTTCAGTGTGTGTGTGTGTCTGTGTGTGTGTGTGCGTGTGTGTGTGCGTAGCCAGAGAGAGAGAGAGAGTAGCAGAATGCCCGACTTCGCCAAAAAGACTTGCCCTCAGAGGAACAGACAGATTATCCCTCCCACTTGAGCGTTCAAGGCGCAGTCTCCCAGGACCCTCTATCTGTAGCAGTGGCCTCCAGGTCGCCCACGGCAACCCCCACAATCCCCGGCGTGACATGAAAAGTAAAGTGATCTGATGGCACGCTCCCTACTGTCATTTAGCTTCCTTCCTTTCTGTTCTGGGCTTTTATTCAAAGGTGCACCGTGTAACTTTTCTTGGGGAAAGGGAAATGTTCTCCTTTCTGATTTATGTCCCACGAGAATATGGCGTTATATTGTCTTTGACATGTGGACCATAGTTTGTATCTTGGGTATTTCAAATAGCAACATTGATCAAAAGTACTATTAAAGCATCACAAAAATTGTCATAGTTTAAAGATTATTTTTTCAGAGAGATTATGTGCAATTCATTTAAGTCTCATAAAACTGTTCTGATCACAAACAGAGAAGTGTGAATATGATTTTCCTCCTTGTAATGTCATGGTTTAGATATATTTCCTGTTTTATTTTGTAATTTGTTAACCCTTATGTCTTCCTTAGTTGTACTTCCTGTTTCCTGATTACCTGCCCGCCCTGCAGCTGTGTCTCGTTAGTCGTTAGTGTATTTAAACCCTGTGTGTTCTCGTCCTTGATCCCTGTTTGGTTCCTTTATGTGTTTTTGGCTTGGACTTTGGTTTATTTATCATTAAATGGTAATTTTTGTGTTTTTACATTTCAGGTCCTTGCTTTCATCCCCCCACGTGACACGTAAAGCACGCTGAGTCGGCTCAAGTACATACAACTCAAATCCAAATCAAGTCCTGAGTCCACTGGCCGCCAAATCTAATTTAAAGCTGGGGTACTTGACTTTTGCTCCCTCCATAAAGCATAGTTTGTTTCAATTGAAAATCTTGTAAAACTAAAATGTTGTGAACAAATCAGACCACAACAGGCTGTATTTATCTTGTTAGAAAACATGGCATCTTTTCTAAGAGCCCTGTTTGTCATTTTTGACATTTTGAGCTGAGAGCTGAAGATGGTCAGGATTCAGATTCAGTTTATTTGCAGTTAAAAAAAAAACACATTGGAATACATTTGCAAAAGTCACCAGTGTGCACAGACAAATACAGACATAACACAATATTAAAAGTACAGAAATAAACAAAACAGTAAACAATTGTCACTGAGAAAAAGGATTCGACTAAAACAGTTTCAATACAGGTGAAAGAACATTAAAGTGCTCTGTTCAGACTGATAACAGCTTGTGGGAAGAAGCTGTTAGCATGTCGAGATGTCCTGCATCTCAGAGAACTATATCTTCTGCCAGAGGGAAGAAGCTGGAACATCTGTCATTTTTGCCAAATTAATACTTGTTTTTGAAAACTAGTGATAGAACCTAACTGCGTTGAGGGTGAGGAACAAGTAGATTTTATGACAGAATAATCCAAATAATCCCTCGGTTCTGACACACAATTGTAAAGCGCTTTGTGTAACCTTGGTCTGTGAAATACACTATATAAATAAAGATTTCTTACTTGCTTACTTCTGGAAACCTTTTATGAAACTAACCAGGATGAGAGATTAATGAAACCTTTTGATTTTAGTCTAAACTCCTAGGAGAAGGAAAGGTAGTTTGAGCCAACCAGACCAACAACTTTGTAAATTCCTGCTGTTGCGATTTAGGTCTATACAAAAACGAACCGAACTGATGTGAATTTGAAATCTTTGAGCCTGTGCTTACGAAGAATCTCACAACAAAACAAAACAACACAACCAGGTACTGACCACACCGCAAGTCACCGCACAAGTGGAGAAACCCCCTTATATCCTCAAGCAGCATCAAAAGCAGTTGTCATAATCTCCTGTTGAGGATGTTCATACCAGCCTGGAGAGAGGCCGAGAGAGGCTGAGAGAGAGGGGAGGGGGGAGAGAGGGATGCTGGGAGTCCTTACAGGAGGGGGCTCGGCGGATAACAAGCAGAGCGCAGAAGGTGTGTGTATCGGAGCGTGAGAAAACAGTTGAGACAGCCTGGGCCCACTGAGATGACTGGCGAGCTAATGCTATGTTAGTGAGCTGCTAACGGCATGCCTGGGTCTTGGCGCTCTGCCCTTGTGCACACACCCCACAGTGGCCCCCAGCGGGACGGGGGGGGAGGACGGGGGGGATGGCTCAGGTCGGGGGGGGGAGCGATTAGTAGTGACACGTCTTTTGGGCACCGGGTGGGACCTCTCCACCATGTGAGCTACGAGATGGTGACTCACGCAAGACTAAGGCCAGGTGATGTAGAAAGGGTTAAATGTAATGTGGCGGTGCAGGTGAGAGGAGGGGGATAATGTAACGGATTTACTTCCAGGTGATGGCAAAGCTCGAGGGGAGATTGACTCGGAAGTTGCTGAGAAATCTCCAAGTGTTGGTGCTGGATTAGGGTTCATCTTTAAATTCTTACATGTAAAAGTCAAGGATGAAATACCCAAGGAGATCAAATTGTGTTCCGTCCATTTATGCAGGAAAGAGGTTTTCATTCATCTCTTTCAGCTTGACAATATTTATTTAATTATTATTCTCTTGCAGTATTGACAAAATGTATTAATATTCTCTTGCAGCATTGTCACTAAGAGGTTAATATGGCTGTTACACCATGGTATACATCATTTTAAATCTGTTTGAGATAATTACCAGCTCATTCATTTTATTCTATACCTTGTACCCATATAATTAGTAATAATTGAATTAAAAATATACACCTTTCTATTATACCTCATCTTATATAGCTTTGGTCCAGGTATGTCAAACACACCCCCATTACTTTAAAGTCAAAATAAATATTGAAAGCCAAAGCTTCAAAGAAAAACAGGACAAAAAGATAATACCATGGTATAGGAGCATAGCCAAAGAAGCTAGCTCATGACTAAAATGACTTTAATGACAGAAAAAGTGGCAATACTGTGTTTCAAATGCATCAATGTTTCTTGTGATTTTCTTTTTAGCTGGAGATGATTCCAGATTCCCTTCATGGTGCCGCAACAATTCTTTATTCAGGCTTGGGATCAGCTCAAAGACACTGCCTTCACTCCTATTCACTTCTATTACACTTGATGGATTAATGTATCATTTTCCCCCTGACCGAGTGCTGACCCTCAGTGACCCTCAGAAGTGTGCGTCTCTGTGTGTGCGTCCGTGTGTGTGTGTGTGTGTGTGTCAGAGCATGGCAGAGCAGACATGAGGCTAATGAAGTCTACTGCAGGTGGAGAGATACTGGGACTACACAAACTGCTAATCCAGGCCTGGGGCTTGTTCCTTCAGTAATTGGAGGGCTGTGGTTCACCATATATTGGATTTGGTTACAATTGCGCACAAAATGTTGTTAGAACCGGCTTATCTTGACACATCTTAAGAGCCCTTTAATTTTTATCCTCAAGTGACAAATGCTTATTTGACTGTTTATTGCTTTTGTGTACAGTTGCAACGATTACAGCTGCCGTTTCAATGCATGATTGGTCTTTGATTAGTTTAGTTTGGGCTGCTCTGAGCTGGACGAACATTCACTAAACTAAATTTAATTTAGTTTATCGGGCGGCACGGTGGCTGAGTGGATAGGTTCGAATCATGGTCGGAACATGGCCTTTCTGAGCGGAGTTTGCATGTTCTCCCCGTGTCTGCGTAGGTTTCCTGCATGTACATGTACAATAGTTCTGGCATACGCCTCCTGTACTGTTGACCCCACTCCCATCTCTGTGTGGAGTGAGAGACAAGTGCCCACAATTGTAAACCGCTTTGTGACTATGGTCTGGTTAGCGTCGTTGCTTATGGTATAACTTGTTTTGTGTTTTTGCTCATAAAAGGTGCGTGAAAGTGATTTTGCGTAAAAGTGATTTAATGCAAAGATAGGAATGTCTACATGTTTTACTTTTCCAACCTTTTGTCGCTAATAATATAATTAAAACCATGTCTTTTTGTACAGATTTGTGTATAACTAGTAACCTGAAGTTACTTGTAGCCTCAGTAAACGTAATTACTGCATTTGGAGCGATGCTGAAATAGTATATTAGTGATATAAGACACTCGACTGGATAAACAAAGCATTATTTACCTGCATACATGTTTTTAATAGATTTGACTGTGTGTGCTTTGCTTCACTGGGCTGTAATAATGTCTCCTCCTAATGACAACATGGCTCTGACAGAAGCTGGAGAAGACGCCCTAGGTCTGTGAGCCAAACTCTTCAGCTTGGTGCAAGAGTGTCCCTCCCAGGGCGATACGAGTCCTCACGGAGAATTGTGAGCGAAAGTCAAAGAACAAAAACAAGCCCTGACCACCAGCGATGAGGGCAATGAGGGAGCAGAGGGAGCAGCGGTGCCATTTACTCTTCACTTCTGCTACAGTGTGTGAAAACGATAGTGAGGCGAGATGGTCCCGTGCAGGAGGGGGAAAGACACAGAGGTCCCGGAAGTTGAGAGGAGATCATAGGTCAAATTTAGCCTCCAGGGTGCACAGTGAAGGGGTGCGCAGTGCATCATGGGAGTCCTTGGCATGTCCTCCTAATTTCGCCTAGGAGAAGACAGTTCCTTCCCCCTGGCTTTCTCTGTGTACGAAGAGTCGCACAGGGATGTATACAGTAGATGATGAAGAGTGAGATATTTATTTGGGTTAATATTCAACGGTAAAAAAAAAAAAAATCAGGGATAAAAAAATGGGAGTTAATTTTGATGATTTTTTTCTCATTGGATTTTTTTCCTTGCTGATAATGGATAATTGAATATCTGGGACATTAAGACGTTATTGAAACTTTATGGACTGACATTGACAACCCTTCCTGAATTTTTAAGACTACCTGTGACTAAAAATACAACCAAAATTGGGCAAAAAGTTGTGTAGTGTGTACTCAGTTTAACCCAACACTTGATGGATCAATGACTCTTATGTGTATTTAATTAGTATTTCCTTGTGTTAATTCTTTCATTTTCCACTCTGCCGCTGCAAATGGGAACTTTCTGTGTCGTCCTTTGAGATAACTGCTGTTTTGATTTTTGCCATTACAAAAAAATGTATGTATTAGTTTTTTATAATAACTATTTAAATAAATATTAATACAAAACGACAGAAAGTGAAGTGACTCACTATCTCTTCACTGTCTGCAAGATTAGTTTTATCCCACAATATTTATCTCGGAGCTTACAGCCAATCAAATGTAATCAGCAAAAACAGAAACAGCGGTTATATCTGCTCAAGAAGTACAGTCGCTCAAATTTGTAAACTTCAAGTGAGGGTATCTAACTTTCCCCCCGCATAAATGATCCATGATTGCCTGAAATAAAGGAATAGATGAAAAATGAAAAAAAAAAAGTTTGTCCCATTAGAAAGAGTCTTGTTAAAGTTACCACAACATGCCGTCTTCTTGAATACTTGCAAGAAAATGTCCAGTCATTTGTTTCATTTTTCTGTCTGAGCTAAGAGCTGATTTATAACAATTAAACCAACAGAGGCCAAAAATATGTGAGAGTGATGTGGGCCTCCCCAAGATTTCAACAACATTTGTCATCTGCCCACCTATGGACCAATGCATCTGTTTTTTTTTTTTTATCACTGCATTTTCCTGTGTTCTGTAAAGTCCCCCGAGATAACTACTGTTGTGATTTAGGGCTTTTTAGGACAAAATAAATTGAAATGAATTGAAATGTATTCTCTGTAACGCAAGGAGCTAGTCACATGGGCGGCACGGTGGCTGAGTGGACAGCACTCTCGCCTCTCAACGAGAAGGTCCTGGGTTCGAATCCCGGTCGGAACAGGGCCTTTCTGAGTGGAGTTTGCATGTTCTCCTTGTGTCTGCGTAGGTTTCCCCTACCACTAAAAATATGTACAATAGATCTGGCATGTGCCTACTGTTCAGCGACCCCGCTCCCATCTCTGTGAGGAGTGAGAAACAAAATGCCCAAAAATTAACAATTGTAAACCGCTTTGAGACTCAGCTCTGCAGTGAAAACGCGGTATATAAATAAACATTACTACTACATGGAGCTCACACCATTGTCCCATTCTGCTGAAAGTCAGGTACCCCAGCTTTAACTCTCCACACCCGGATCTGCTGTACCAATATTGACATGTCCGCAGTACTCTCGTCACCTGCAGAGCTTAACAGTGCAATGAGCTGCTTTTATCCACTCTGAGTAAGATTGACAGCGAGATCCTCTGTGCGCTGCTGAAACCTCTGGCCCCAAAGTGTGTGTAATGAGACAGGTCCCGCGACAAGCTCTAATCAACTCCGAGTTATGGCTCCTGAAGCAAAGAGGCCAACGCGGAGGATACAAGCACGCCGCTAACTCTGCCGCCCCGTGACCTGTGCAGTGACACGCCAGTAATGAGCAAAGTTCACATGAAATATTTACTTTGATTCGGGAAATGAAAGGCCTGCTACGTGAGGAACAAAGCAAGATTTTTTCCACATTTCGAACTACTTTTTAAAATACTGATGAATAGACTGTACCAGTGTTCCCCAACCGTTTTGAGCCGTGGTACAGTCATTATAAACAAGCACATGGCACACCACCAGCTGAAACAGAAACAAAAGTTAGACGCTGCAGCCTGATTTAACAAAAGGAAAGTGGTTCTCATCCAGGTAATTTATATAGAAAATCAAACGAATGCAAAGAAAGTCTTTCCAAATCTTCTCACATTATTTGCTTTTTGCATTATTTTGACCAATTAGATGACATTGGATCATTTCCAAAAGGCATATCAGGCAATATCTCAAAGCACACGAGCATGCTATGGCACACTGGTTGAAAAATACTGGACTATACTAGAGCTGCAGAGCTGATTTTTCTGACAATGCAATTCAATTTACAATATAAATCTAAAAAAACATGTGCATACAGTATATAGTGGTGATGATCCAGTGATGATGGTGGTCACTCAGCATTTATGGACATTTATCAACAAGGGTTTATCATTATGGACATTGGTCATCTGCCTCTTATGAACCAATACCTATGTCCATCCATCCCTTTTCTTCCGCTTCATCCGTTGCCGGTTGTGGGGGCAGCAGTCTAAGCAGACACCCAGACTTCCCTATCCACACACGCTTCCTCCAGTTCGTCCAGGGGGACCCCAAGGCGTTCCCAGTCCAGCTGAGCCACCAATACCAATGTGTTTTCTGTTTTATTGTTTGAACGGTTTGATTTTCTGATCTGTATTGGCAAATTCTACGGTTGTGTCAAGTCCTCCCAGAAACTATAGTTGCGATTTAGAGCTATACAAGTTAAATGGACTTGGAAAAAAAGTTATAGTCTGGCAATTACGGTAGCTTAAAATGTCTTTCAATAAAACCAATTTCGACACTAGCTCAAATGAGTATTTTGTTTCCGATCTAGTTTTAGTATTAACATCGGATTTTTGATACATTACATAATATTGAACCAACTCTTGTAAGACTTTCCCCTCTGTTTTCAGCTGAGCGTTCACCTTCAGTGCGCGGGTGTCGGCTTGTATCACCGCTGAAGTGATGCACAGAGGGAGCGACAGCAGCTTTCTAGAGCCATCGCCGGGGCCTCTGGTGGAACCCTGACAGGGCCACCTCCAGCTACATCTTTAGTGGGAGTCGCACACAAGACACAGCTTTCACTTCTCATCCAGGTTGGTTTTAATGGTCTCAGTGCTTTCATGAATGACACAGACATAGAGGCACCACGTACGTGAAGAAGCAAAGTAATAAATATGTTAAGTGTGCCAATAGTCGTATTTTTGTAAGCAATTTTGTAAGTATGTTTTGTAAAGAGAATAATGAATGTACTAACATTTTTGGCAAGAAACATGATTGTTAAGACAATTGTGGCATATTAGGAAAAAACAGTGAAGGTAATGAATTTTGGATTAAAGCTGGGATACCCAAATTTATCTTTCATCTCTACTGTTCATACATAAAACATATACTCTCAATGTAGAGTCTAAAAGTAAAATGCTGTCATATCAAACCACAACATGCCGTCTTTATTCTTCTATAAAACCTAATTTTGTATTCTTATAAAAAAGAAAAAAAAAAAAAAAAAAACGTGTGAGTCACAATTTGACTCTTCGGGCTGAGTGAGTTGTCTCTTTTGTCACTTTTGTATCTGAAAAACCCAAGATGTGTTGAGGCCAAAAACATACATTTAAAAACTACAGAGACCAAGGAAGATCTCATTAGATTGTTAAATTTCAACATGCAAAAAAAAAGTAAGTACCCCAGCTTTAAATGTTTTTTGTATAGCCCGCGGCGCATCAAACACTGCTTTATCATTGTTAGCTTTGTAGTTGTAAAACACAGATTTCATGACATAGTTATATTCTTGCATGCATGCACCCTAATCTGAACAGAGAGGGCTGGTTGAAACCCTGTTGTCCTTATCCTTGGCTTTAGTGTCACATAATGCCTCACTGAAATCACAATATATTAAACATCTATCCCTCTAACACTATCACAACACATTCAAAACACAATGTTCTTCAGATACACACACTTCATTTTTGATCGGCTTGCATAGAGTCCATGATGATGGCAGTTTCAATGGGCTCAAATCAATGTTTCGTGTCATTTTAAAATGAGATGAATGGGAGGAGAAACCATAATGATATTGGTGAGATGTTTCCAGCCAACATCAGCACATCGTGATTTTAGAAAAGGTTTTTTCAATGTCCTTCTGGCTGTGATATGCTACATGGAGTGTTAAATTAAATAATCTATGAAAAGACAAATACATGTATTATTGCACAGACGGTAAGACGATCCCTGCATCCAAGTTGTAAAAATAAAACGTAAAAGGCGACGACTTCCAAAATGTTCAAATAAAAATCCGGTTTTACTATGTAGCTGCATAAGATGTTGTCCAGTCCACTTTGGAAAAGAAGGGATGGGACTTGATATCGTCAACTCCTCCTGCTCCGGCTCCCAGTCTCTCGATGGGGTTGTACTGAAGCAGCTGGAACGAGCAGAGACACAGGATATTACTCTATATTCAATTATTATTATGTTTTTAATATTACACTAAATAAAAATCAATGGAAACAGCAGCAAAGTATATCAAGTACTAGGGGCTTAGCAAATAATCTAATATTTCTGACTAACATGTGATTTTTGGATGTCTTGTATGTTCAAAGTAAAAATAACAATAAGAGTGAAATTACCTCACACTCATTTCCTTTTATGGTAGAAATAATAAAAAAAATCACTATAAAAAAAAAAAAGTAGTTTTAATATTTTCTCACAAACTTCTAAGTCAAACCGGAGTTGCACAACACATTTGAACAGTTTTGGCTTATATAAAAATATTAGTCATATACGCAGAAAATATGAGATGACAAGTCTTCAAATACACTACTTTAGGTTAAGGCACACTTTATTTATCCATGTAGGGCAATTTGTCTGCATTTGACCCATCCTGCAATGCCACTATGGGTCCGTTCACAGCGGTTGATGCTTGGCTTGGTCAGGACCAGAGCTAGAGGATTTTTATCTATTGTACATGTTTTTAGTTTGAAGGAAAAACCAGAGCAGACACAGGGAGAACATGCAAACTCTTCTCAGAAAGAATCCGTTATGCCTCGGATTCAAGCCCAGGGCCATTTTGCTGAGAATCGAGAGCACTAGCCACTCTGTCACTGTGCTTTCCCATATTTAAATGATATTCTGCTTATTTTCAGTCCCTTTTACAATTTTCTAATGGCGACCACGATTATTATATACCCTTTTGAAAATTCCCATTGATCATGCATCCTCATTCACAACATTCAGAAAAGAGGAATGAAAAGTTTTCGACTACATGTGTGGTGTGTTTGGAGCCAACATTGTCCCAGAGATATAGATATATAGATATAGATATAGAGATAGAGATAAAGATAGATAGGAAAGGCCTTATATGTGTATTTGATTACGGTTTAACCTCCGCACCTGTTCCAGCAGTGATCTCGCCTCCTCTGACACAAACTCCGGGATGTTGAGCGCTGTGTGGCGCCCGATGCCCGCGGGATGGCACCTCAGCAGAGACTAGAGCAACCAAAACACATGTCCATTAATGAAAACAAAGCAACTCAAACAAACAACATGGGAGTTAAAAAGAAAAGAAAAATCTGTGAAAATAGGTGGGCCCGAGCTCCTGAAACAACACTGATGCCATCAACTATAACAAAGACGTCATGCGAATGCTTTCTCAACGCGGCGGAGAATCAGAGAGAAAAAACACGACGGAACAAAGTGGAAAATGGATTGTCTAATTATGATGTTCCTTGTTTTTACAGAACTAGTTTAACTGGTGAGGTCAAACTGCCATTCCATGCGCACGGCTCCGTTTAAAATCACAGAAATAAGCTTTAAGACCCATAAGTGCAATTTCGTCTGGCTCTGTTGTGGAAGTAATTGACAATAATGAGTCTAATTGCAGCATATATGTATCCAGCGCTGCCTTCAGCCGGTCTGGAGTTTGTTTGCCTCTGCTGAATGAAAAAAAAAAAAGGGAGCGTTTTTTTTTTTTTTTTAGTCAGTTGCCCCTCTGAGTGTCTCCCGCCTGCTACGTGCTGCAGGACTTCTGGCTGGCGTCCGAGCTTTAGTCAAGACTGCTCCAGGCGAGATCTTATCCGGCAAGGATCAAGAGCGCAGTGAGAGCCGCTGTGAGTGTTTCGCTGCCAGGACATAATCATCAAAGGAGACATCTGTGTCGCTCAGGTTTTATTCCAGGTAACTGGGTGTGTTTGATTGAATGTAAAAACGCTAACCTTACACCCCTCGCTCTTGTCTGAGCCATTGATGAGAACGACTGATGCCTGATATGTGGTTATGCCCACTGGCAATCAGCTACGCCGTATTCAAATGTAATATACAATGAGAAAGACGCAGGTGTGTGTGCTTTTGTGTGACCTCCAAGATGGCAGTAAGGTATAATTAAATAGAAGCAGCTGCAAAACCAACTGTAGAATCCAAACAAAAAAGGACAAAAGTTAGCGCTGTTCTTCAGCAGTCTGAAGACAGTCCGCTGGAGAGCTGCTCCTGTGGTCACCGCCGTCCACGCCTTTCCTCAGGTTGGCGTGTGCGGCGAGCTCAGAGCAGTTCCAAGAGCCAGCAGAGACACCCGCGAGGCCTGACCCCCTGGCCCAGCAGATGGAGCTCAGGCTGGGGGAGAAAGTCACACCAACACCCCTGGCACTCCCCGAGAACCAGGGTAAGAAACAGCAGCCAAGACAAACCTTGCAAACACACACGTAGAAGCGACTGCGTGCACGAGTGAATACAAAATCACACACAACCTGGCACCGTTATAAAGCGGAGCGGAAAGACACCAGCTATGTCCCAAAACGACTCGGCAATAAACTCGTATTTTTCTGCACTTTCTACTCACCATTCCTGTTAGAAGTTCAAACAGAATGGCACCCAAGCTCCACCAATCACAGGCCACCGTCTCCTCGCTGATGCCGCCGACCTCTGAAAAAGCAAATACAAACAAATTCTTATTATGTCCTGAAACATCGAAAAAGCCACATTTACTCAAGATTCTAATAAAAACTCAATATTTCCCAGTTAATTGCATTATCTGAACAAAGTCAACATGCTGCCACTCTCGTCACTCACACAAACCCACGTGTGTTTCATAAACGGTCATTTGCATAATAATAATTTTAAAAAACAGTTCCATTGAGAAAACCGTCTGTGCTGCAACTTCACACGATCTGCATGACCAGACCCCAAAACACGCTCTCTCCGAGAAACTTGAAACAGCTACGTGTGACTCCTGGTCGGTCAGACGTTCCATAAGCTCGTCAAATTGATAAGCACTAAAATTGCAGTTATATAAAATGTATTTATTATTTAAAGGTGAGAAAATCCACCTTGTGTTTACATTTATCTGCCTTATGGAGAGGCCACAGAAAACACCTGCCTCAAGATTCTTCATTCTCTATTGATACAAGGTGTGTGTGTGTGTGTGCGGACATGAATAAATACATAAATAAACGTGTTAAATCATGATAAATGCTTTTCTTCATCATTAATCCAAAAAAAAAAGAAAAAAAATACATTTCACATTTGTAGTTACCCAGACTATGTTGGCTCACAAAGCAATGTATCAATTTATGTATTTATCTTACATGAGCAGTGCATATGCAGGGCAGTATACTATTTTGGGCTTTAATTTTGCTTTAATGACAACCTGAAGAAAACAAACGGTACTTTATTCATAAATTATTAGTCAGATATTTGTCATAATAAGCTATAATCTAAGCAAAACTGCCATTTATACTGAAAAAATATGAATACATGGGATGGTTTCAACAGTGATTTTTGTGAAGTGATTATGATATCAAATAATTACATAGAATACCAGGTCACGGTTTTGCCCACTTGACCACAGCACACCAGACCAAACCACCCTCTTCCCTCTCTTGACTATTCCTAAAAGGGGGTGTGGGGTGGTCGCCCAGAGGGGGTCACAGCCGTGCGCGGTGGCCCCACATCAGGCTCCTCAGCTGGGGCCGTACAAGAGACGCCCTTCCCTTGTCTTATTTCGGCTGCTGGGAACTCCACGGGCCTCGGCGGCTCTCTTTCAGCCAAGGTTAGGCACATCGGCGGCGCTGAGGCTGAACGCTCGCCACTGCCAACTGAGCAACCGGGTCTTCAGGGCTCCCCAGCACCCGTGTTTTGACAGTCAAGGAGAGGAGATCGTCATTGAACGGACTAGTGATACCTGCGTTGGTTATGGGCTGCGGGCGAGGATGCTGGACGCACACAGAAGCGCGCACACGTCTCAGAGCAAGGTCGATGTCATCACAATGGATTAATGTCTGAGGAGCTGCGGGGAGAGCGCGGCGGAGAGAGCTGGCTTCACTTACCACTCTGTCAGAGCAATGCGCGGGCACAGGGGCAGAACGCGAGAGGAGGGCGACAAGGAATTAACCAAGTCCACGGGCCACGGGTCACTCAAACCTCACTGTTACGCCATTCCTTTTATCCGCCGCTTCTGTTCTAGGGGGAAATTTCAGCCGCTTTTATAAAACAATACGCTCTTGTTGTTTGTGTTGGCTTCTTCTTTAACCACGAAAATCAAACTTCCCTCTCTACCAGAGAATCTTGGCAGCTGCTCTCTTCTGGGCACGATAAGGAACTTTCTCTCTTCTCCTCGTAGAGACACTTCCTGAAAACTGAAGCCGCAGGTATTGTTCTCAGAGGAAGTAAGCGACGTACCGGTATAGGAAGAAGAAGGAGTCTGTGCCCGTTCGTCTTACAAGAGGGGAACAGATGCAGCCATTAAAAAATAAAAAATAGTAGTACAGGCCATTTCAAACTTCTTCTAATGGTGGGCAATGCTGACAAAGACTTATTGACTTATATACTTTAATGATCTCAATTATATTCAAACCCCATTTGATTAAGTCATCAAATGTGCTAAAACATACAAGTACATTTTGATGTTAGATGTAACTATTGCATACAAGTGTGGCAGTAAAACTATTGTACTGCATATGTCAATGTAAGCTTTATCTGTATAGAACATTTACCACAAAACCAGCTGCCCAAAGGGCTTCGCAGGCACAAATGATAAAAAAATAAAAGCCAACAGCACAACACATGTAAATAGTAAAAGTCAGTGGGTGTTAAAATCCAAGGTGTAAAAATGTGTACAGACTCAATTCTCTAACTTAAGAAAAGAAAAGTAGCCTGTAACAAAGGAATTTAGTTTAGTATGAATCTCTTTCTAGATTTCAGATTTGCAGTAGACTTTCCAAAGAACAGAATCTATCAGGTGTTGGAAAAACACTGGTGCTTTTCTGTTAAAGTGGATTTGAAAACATCTTATGTTCTTCTAAAATACAAACAGGGGGTGGAAAATAGGCGCAGATCAGAGTAAATAACACATTTTCCGGGCCCTTGCCCTGTTTTCCAATGTGTTTAAAAACATGTTTCTCTGTCTTGTGCTCACACCCCACACGCACATACGGTCAGTGCAGACCCCCTGCTAGTTTTCTGGCAAACAGTCATAAATCTGTCATCAGGAATGAAGCCATCAGTGGAGCTGACCCTGTCTGGATAAACAGCCACACATAAACAAGGGCAGTGCAGACCTTAGTCCACATGGTCCAGCACCAGCACAGCGGACACATGACAGCACCAATATACACTAGTACTGTTACTACTTTTACTCACTACTAAGAAAGGAATTTACTTGGTTTTTTTTCTATGATGGAGGAGCACTAATAAAAACAAATACTTCGTTTTTCCTTTATATATATATATATATATACATTTTTTTTTTAAGCCACTTTTTTCAAAATCATAGCCTTGATGCAGTTTGATGGTAAAAGTGCCTAAAACCAAGTGAGATGTCCCAAAAAGGTAGATTTCAGTTCCAGGAAGCTTAAGGTAGTGATTCAAAAATGGATCTACCAAATGGTTGTGGAAACCATTAAAGGGTTAAAACAACAAACTCATTTGAACTAGTATTGATGATAGTTTTGGAAGGTTCAACTTGTCCTCTTAGTAGAAATAAAGTTTTTGTATTTGTACCAGACAAGTGAGTCTGGTACAAATACAAATACAAAACCAAATACATTTATTAGTATAAATGTATTTGATATTGATGATGATTGGAAAAAAAAGTAAGAACTAGAACAAGGACAATATGTCATGGAAATATAAACACAACTATCAATTTATGATCAAATTATAGTGTATCAAAAAAACACCTCTATTGCAGTATCAAATGTGTCCAGTATCTTAGAGTACATTTCCCATAAAGACCTAGTTTAAAGTTTTAGATTTGTAACAACAATACTTCTCTTATAACAAAGAGGAAGAGGCAGACGCAGATTCTAACGGCTTCCAGAGACATCGTGCTCTTTTGCTGCATAAACCAATGATGTGAAAAATTGAGAATGGATTTTAAATGTGCATAGGGTATTTACACGTGTGAATCAGAGGCATTGCACACCCCCAACTGGGGAATAAATGAATTACATTAGGAAGCCACAGGGGAGTAGCAATCATTTACCTAACAAGACCTCTCACATCTGGACTGAGAAAACACACTCTCCTCTGAGCGAGGCAATAAACTTAAATACTAATAATCATAGTATTTACTGGAGATAACTCATTCAGGAAAAATTAATTAAAATTGAGTGTCATTTTATTGGCTTTCATTTCTGCAAGATTGAAAGGTCTTAAAAGAAAAATACACAAAAGGTAAAGTTCAGTTCTCTTTTGTCGCACTGGTGAATATACACTGGCAAATATACTTTGGCCTTCACTCTGTCGCCCCAGTCTTTAGAAGTCCAGCATGTACCGCCTCTACTTCCATTAGGAGGTTTTTTTTAACACACTTTGAATATTAGATGCAGCGCTTCTTGCTTTCAGATTGATTACATCGATGGCATACATTTGAGACAAGGAGGATTTGAGTTTGATGCGACCTTTTTGGCTCAGCGGAAAGGGCAAATGTGAGAAGAAAAAAAAAAAATTAAAGCTTAAACCGCACAACAGGCAGAAAACGTACGTTGGGCATGTTGGGGTATTTCAAATGTCGAAAATAGAAAATGAGAAGAATGTCTAGATTAGATTGAACGATGGTCATGTTTACTCAGGCACAAAAAAAGGTACGTAAGGAAGGGTCAAATAGTTGGAGTCAAGCGAAAAGATTGTTGTACACAGCTTTAGAACAGTATGCCACACGTTCTGGCGAGCGTCACAATATCACACACAATGTTGCACAACAGCACCCTCTACATGACAACACAAGAGCTACATCACTTAGAAATGCAGAAAAGGCCATCGCCTTGGTTAAAGAGGACGAAGAAGTTTGTTTAAAATATGATGATCTTATAAAAATAATACGGGATATAATTTAATTAAATGAAAACTTAGAAGAGAAAGACAAAGCTTGAATTATTATTATTATTAGCATTATTAGATCTGCTTTGACAGCACAGACATGTGATGTATATTGCATGCATGGATTTCTCACCTGGTGCACAGTACATGTTGGCCATGGCCTCTTTGTCACATGACTCTTCCACATCAGTCCAGCTGCAGAAGTATGTGAGCTGAATGTGACCTGAGGCCAAAAGAGCAGAGGTTAAAACAAAGTACAAAGGAACTCCTGTGTTTTGCTTAATGGAAAGTCCGAACTGTAACTTTGAGCTGGTTATTTCTCAAGAGCGCTTCCTTTCCTCTGAGGCGGGTCTCTACGTCGTCTTTCTAGCACACTGCCCCGAGAATTACTCCTGTTTAGCTGCAACCCGTTAACGCCATCATTAGAACTAATGGTGTCATTAGGTAACTGTGGCCATTAGACTAGGCTAGCCAGACAGATGCACCACACTACATTGGTGATGGGCCCTTTAGAACAATAATTACCAGCAGGCAGAGGAAAACAGCCACTCAGCTAATTAGACGCTTGTTGATAACGAGGTGGAGTGAGATGATTGTAGGAGCACAAAGGAAGACAACCAAGAGGATCCTGTGACCTCAGCTAAAACAACACTTTCCTCTGAAGGGAGTTCATATTTGTGTAAATAGATTAAAAGAGCAGCAGACAAAAGTTAAATGCACTTTGCTCAATGTACTGCTTTTAGACAGAGCTATTATAAGTTATCACTAGTTTTGTACAACTATTAGGAAATCACAAAGAAGTACATGTACTCATGTTGTTTCTCTAAAAGTGAGTTAAGGAGAAGTTGTACCTTGATGGTCAAGCAGGATGTTGTTTGGGTTGAGGTCTCTACAGAGGATTCCCTCCTGGTGCAGAGAGTCCAGGGCTGTGACCAGTTCTGAGGCCCAGCGCCTCACAAAGTCCTCTGGGATGAGAGCTTTAGATGCTGCCACAGACAACTCCTCGAGTTCAGCAAAAAGTCGGGATACATGCTGATCAAACTCGCCAACTCCAGTCTCCTGGGCACAGAGAGGCCCCAGCTCACTCTCTGTGGCCTCTGACACCTCAGGCTCAGTCCTGGGGGGCATGGAGCTCACACTAGCACAAAGATCAGGACTGTCATGGTTCAAAGAAGAAGGCTCCAATGTTTCTTTGAAAGGGTCAATTTGTTCGGTGTTGCCCATTTTCTCAGAGGCTTCTTCTCCATACGCCAAGTTGACGTTGTCCCATAAAGACAAGAAGGCGGACGTGGATGTAGCACTTTCTCCAGTGGCAGAAGCTGTGCCAAATGATAAAAGCTCCTCCTCCTCCTCCTCCTCCTCAGTTTGGCTGTGGCGCTGCAAAACATCAGGCTGAATGGACTTTTGAGGAGAAACAGAGGCCTCTAGACCCAGACAAAAACCAGAGAAAACCTCCTCGCGTGAAATGTCTACAGCTCCTGTCACTACAGGCAGGTTCACCAGCAGGTCCGGAGGCTGGCCCTCATCCTGCACTATAGCTTCTTTAAAGGAAATTACTGGGATGGACTCATTGGAGTCTTTGTCACCCTCCCCTAGGACCCAGCGCTCGGAACGAGGCTGCACCTCCTGAGCCAGCTCTGGAATGTCCTCATTGGCCTCAGATCCCAGGTCCGAGGTGGAGAACAGACCCAGCTGTTTGTCCACACAGGGCACCTCATTGCCACTGTCTTTGCTATCAATGCGGAAGAACTCCATGGGCGTGTGCTTGGACTGGTCCAAAGACAAAGGCACCGCCGGAGAGGGCAGAGGACTGAACACGTCGCTGTGGTCCTGCCCCTCAGTGTCCTGCGTCAGGCCACTTCTGTCAGACGACTCTGTGAAGAAGCCCAGTTCCTGAGAGCTGATGGGTGAAGACAGGCTGTCATTACTGAGCAGTGAGCGGCTGTGCGAGGAGGTGGTGGCATTAGGCAACTCCAGTGATAGTATCTCCTGCTCACTTCTGTCCTCCCCCTCGATTAGGGCCTCTATCTCGATCCTCTCCTGTTCATACTCGATGCAGAGCGCCAAATAACTGTTGTTGACCTCGTCCTCACACGCAGACTTCGAGCTCTTGTCTTCAGAAGTTGCTGCAGAATCTGACTGGGCTCCTATTAGCTCCTGGGCTTGTGGTGGGAGTGCACTTTTAAGAGGGCACGTAAACATAGTCTCTCCCTCTTTGGGCAGTCCTGCTATAGTCCCAGAGTCTGAGCTGGCCTCTCCTGCCGGGCCCGAGACGTGCTGCGGAGAGTGCACGGCTGTTATGTGGCTTTTTTGGATGAAAGGAATGTCAAAACTTTCCTCTGGGCTGGACGTGCGCAGGTATCTCTCGATATGAGACCAGAGCTTACCACCTGCATATAGAAAACATGGACACATTATACGGGTACTAAAACTAATCCAGACTACAATCATGAATATACATTTATTCTCACTCCTGTCCTCCCCCTTTTAGGTAAAGTTCAGGTTAGGTTAAGGTATATTATACTGATCCCCACAGATAAATTATGACCAAAGACTTCACCATGTTAAAAGTATAAAATGTAAATCATATTTGTAACATAAATAGATACATGCAGAAAAGCAGTAACGCTGCTACTGTAGACTTCTGTATGGTCCAGTTAATGGTTGCAATTATCAAAATATAATAGACTTTAAAAAAAATTAGGTTTAGTTAATAAACAATAAACTACTAACAATTTGCCCATCACAAAAATACAATGTTTTAGTAGTTATAATTATAGTTTGGTATGATAATAATATATAGTTAGAGCCCAATTTAAATTAGGCTATGACTCTCACTGCTGAATACTTGCTTGCTAAAACATATTCAATTCCAGGTATCATTGTTTAAGTAATTTGTGTTTTATTTGACAGAATTTATACTTTATTGTAGTATTTGGTGTCAAACAATTGTTGAAATAAAGTGAAATGGTTCCATTTGAGAACCATTGGATTAGGCAAGAGGATTCATATAAAGATATATTTCATCTTGCCTCTCTTATCAAGGGCATACTTAGTTACTACACGCCCACATCTGTAGTATGAGCTACTCGACACAAGCATCTGTTGTCTGTGATGAGAATGGGTATGAGCTCACTATGATGATAATGATTTACTTGATGGCTTTCAAAGTAAAACTATTCCCATGTTTTGTCCAATGTTACTCAGGTCACTGGCTTTCTCTGTCCTTGATAAACTGTTAAAAGCAAAACACTAGGGGATGGGATCAGGCCGATTTTTGGATCCAACAGCAATTATGAACGACTCTTTAGTAAAACAATCAAGTATATTGTAATATCCCTCAGTGTGTAGAGTGCTGTCCACCGATATTAAATATGGCTGGCTATGAGGCCCGGCAGACAGGTCAGTGATCTATACATAAGAGCCTCACACAGTGTAAGTGGGATATATGAAAGCCCAGGTGGTGGCGCTGCTAATGAAGCCAAGCACCACCTGCTATTCAAAATAATGACCTGTGACTCGCAACAATCACCATCACACATCTGCGAGGAGCAAGGGCAAAAATATACTGGCAACCATTTAACACAAAGGGACAAATTCAGGCAATGGTAAAAAAAAAATACATTTGTAGTCTGTTAGGCTTGCATGTCACAAAACAGCATGTTTCGAGTAAAATAGTCAAATTGTGGATTTTTTTGTTTTGTTTTGACTGTACTGTGTTGATGAACCGTGTCGTAACAAGTGGTATGAAATAGTAAAATGGGTTAACTGATATTGGTAATAGGTTAAGGCAAAAATATGTTACAAACTTCAAGCTAACTGCTTTGATCTGTAAAATAGTCATATTTTGGATAGGAAAGTGTTTTTAGCTCCTGTAGAAATAAACACCAAAACTAAATTCTGAGCAGTTACCTTCAGCATATTGCAGTAAAAGAAAAACGGTGTCTTCAGAAACGATAAACGTTTTGAGCTGCACCACGTGAGGTATGGAGTGAGGCATGATGATCCGTTTATACCTCTCACAGTCGCTGCTTCTTCTCAGTCCCTGTAGGTAAGCAGACAGACAGACAATTAAACTACAGGGAGGACACAAAAAGGACAAAGAGGTAAAGTAAAGATACCCCAAATATAAAGGGCATACAGTGTACAGAGGGAGGGGACCTGCAGGTTGTGGTAAGAATAAGCACAAGGCAATGAGAAAGGAGAAATCTCACATTAACCAAGTGCCAGCTTTGCCCCATGGCGTCCCAAAGTCACTGGATTCATCAGACCACCCACAGCGCGTGACTTTAAATCTATCAGCGCCACGCATAAGGTCCACACTGTATCCGTGCATATGTAGTGCATGTATGTGTGCATATGGCTGTGTAGTGATCTGTGCCGCGCTGTGTGCTGGCATCTGGCACACGTCTCACACCTGAGAGCAGAAGAGCTGACAGGGAGAGGTCCATTAGAATCAATTACAGCGGTCACACAGAGGGGCGCCGCCACGCACACGCATACAGTACACACACACACACATTCACTAAACTTACTTTCAAAATAAACGTCTCTTGCGTTCGCTTGTCCATGACCAAAAGAACCTGTAACAAAAAGGAGTGCCATTAATTGCTAACTATGAGCACGCTCACCGATGATATAGTGTTGATGTCCCTCAATGTAGTGTTTTTCAAAGGCTGGGTCAAGACCTTTGCGGGGGGCACGACAAGATAAATGTGAGGGTAGAAAGGATGGCAGCGGCAAGAAACATCCCACCGTGCTGGGAAATTAGCAGTGGCTTCATCAACAGTATAACAAAGTGGTGCAGAGAAATAATCGCTGTAATAATTGAAAAGCAAACAATATTTTCTTTTATTCCTCAAACATCTCTATCTCCCTCCTCCACTGGGAGAGCAGGAGCATATGTAGGCGAGCTGCGGTGTGTTGATTTGAGGTGCGCTCTCTCTCATTGTGACCCAGTCTGGGACCAAACAGGTGCAGGCTAAATGGATATGAATGGAGCTGTGAGTAAACAGAGCGGCATTGCTAGCCAGGCGCTAATATAATTAAGACACAAACATCAGGGAAGGGGAGGACAGGGGAGCAGGAGGGTGAGGACTTCTCTCCATCTGTCCCCTCTGTCCCCATTAAAAGTGCAAAGGCATGAAGCATTGAACAAATAAAAAATATTGCTTTTTATTTGTTCTTATGAAATAATTTGACACTGACTTGATGGCGGCAACATAAACTTTAACAGATGCAAGGTTGTATCAACATTTTCCTTGGAGTGCGTGTGTGTATAAGATGAGCATCATTGAATCAATGTTGTGTGGCTCTTTCTGAGTTGCTTGCCAAGTCATTTCATGGCTGAGTGGTGAAGTTGCTTTGTTGGCAGCTGGTTGAGTAGACCAGCAACCTAAACTGACCTTGTGGTCGCCATGACTTACTCCAAACACATTCATCAATTTATAATATGATCTACAAAATCTATGTTTATAGCTGGAATTAAAGCTATGGCCAAAAAAAGAATCGCTGCAGATGGCCTCTTGATGTGCGCAAACTGACCTTATCAATAACTCCCAACACTCGATAGACTCTCAGCTCTTCTGACGGAGGATATGGAATGTCTCTGCTTGTGGATGGACAGCACTGAGCTGCCATGGCCTAAAGTGGTTTAAGACACGTTGTCATTTTTGTGTTTATTTTATCAAGTAAATTAACATGACCGTGTTTCAAGTACCACTGTTTGTGTTGATCCTTGACCCATGTTGCTTTTCAGATGCTGACTGGATATTTGTTCAGCTCGCATCAGATACTCTGCAGTCTTCCTCTTGACTGCCTCACGACGGTTGGCGCTTGATTCACCTATGACAGTATTGTAATTAACATTAATAAATGAATTCAAAGATTCATAAGACGAGCATTAGGGTTAGAATTCACAGGTTTTTGTTTTATATTGTTTAATGTTTTGTACTGACATCAGATTAAATGTGACTAGAAAACTGACCTTGGACTCCCTGCAGGAGCAGATCCACTCCACTTCGATAAAAGGAGAAAGCAGTCTGGTAATCCTGCTCTTTCTCCCTCTGCACCGCCAGAGAGATGAGCTCAGTGGCTTTGTCCAGATAATCTGACTTCACGTCTTTAAAGTTTCCACTATTTGTTCCTTTCAAATTTCCTGAGAAAAGTTGCACTTTGGATGCCCAAGTGGCCTCTTGGTTAGGGGCAGATGATGCTGGAACAGGGGCAGGAGATGGGCTTCGCCGGTCATGCAAGGAGGGCAAGCGGGGACTATAGCTGCAACTAACAGGAATGGCGCCCCCTTGTGGTAGATTTGGAGAAGTGCGGCCTGAGGCCATGCCATCGTCAATCTCAGCCAAAGAATCAGTTTCTATAGCGAGGGAAGTCTGATCACTGTCACTGGATGGACCTAAGAAACAGTGGAAAACTGTAACATCCAACCCCAAACTTTCTGAATTTTGATTAAAACTGTACCTCCATAATCCGATGTGAGAGTCAAATCCTCTGCACCAATAATGTCTCTTTGTACTGAAAATGTGATGTAAATGTTAATATTTTTTCAAATGAAGATTTGGTATTGCATTCAGGCCTACCACCAGAGCTGCAGTCTGATAAAGTATCTCCTAGAAGGTCAGACAGTGGTTCTGCGGGTCCGATTAGCTCCGAGCTATCGTGGACCTCTCCTCCCTGAGGAGACAAAATGTTTTAGCCATGTGGGTCATTGAAACAATGTGCGATTTGTGTTTGCAGACCTTGAAGAACTCTAGAATGTGCTGACTGTTGTAGAGAGCAGGGATGTTAGCAGAAAATTGCAGCAAATCCTCTGAGCATTGTCTTCGCTCCTCGATCACTGTATCATCAAAGCGACCTACAAAATAATATCTTTACAATACAAGCTACACTCAAGCTACAATAACTGCTCTATCTCTGTATAGTGTTTCTATAACAATGAAAAATTTACCAAACACTTTTCCTTTGGCAAATGGAGGAAACAGCTCTGACTGAGTACAAACATTCTTGTGCAGCTGCCACAGATCTTGGTGAAGCTTGCGAAAATCATTATATCGTTTCCAAACTGTTATCTGGGAGGGAGGAAAAAAATAGATTTATGAATGAATAAATAAATGTTATTTAATGTTTTGACTGTTAGTGTTAATGTGTAATTGATACATATACTAAAATTAAATGTTCATAGACAGCTTGCTGCCCAGTTTTCCCCAGACTTACTTGAAAGAAGCCTTTTCTCGATCCATGTAAAATGTCAAAAAACATAAATTGTTTTTGTTTACGTTGGTAAAATACTATCTATCCACAAGAGTGAGGAAACAGCCATGGATCACCACTCCCAAACTGAGACACCGCTAAGCTATGACGGTATGCACTATATCAACCACAGTAAATTGCATCATGCTTTAAAAATTAGTGCTGGCTTCAAGTTAAACTGGATTATCTACAGTACTATAAATGCTGTATGTGTTATGCCATTAAAAATGGAGATCTTAACAAAAACACAGTTTTAACGCAAAAATTCGAAGCAGATTGTCGAGTTTTAAGGTTTCATCCGAACTTTCAGCTTACAGTATTCCTTTAAAGCTGCTACATGTTGTAGAGTGGCTTACCTCTTGGACATCCTCTGGATTCCTCCTAGAGATAATCTGCACAGACAAGAATGACAGTAAAAAACTATACATCTGCCTGGTTCTTTGGGACCCCTGACCTCTGACTTGAGAGTGGGGAATCTCACCGTGACAAAGCATCATTATTTCAGAGTGTGTAGGAGACATCACCAACACAACAGACATGACATTTAGCCCATTTCCTGTCCAGAGACTGGTCAATACACACACACTAGTGGTCAGTCACTTGATGTTTTAGGTTTCGGTTTCACCAGATCCCACTGTACAATGCGTTTTGGACAATTAGTTCAGTGATATGTCCATGTTATGACAAAAAAATTACCCAAAATCAATTGAGAAGATAGTCAGATCATGTAGACCTAAGTGGACACAATTCAAACACGTGTGCTGAATAATAAAGGGGAAGTCGACAACAAATTAAATCAATGCCATGTTTCCATAGTATGGTCTCAGCTTTTTATACGCACAATAGACATGGTAATCATCATTGCGATCATCACCCCGTACTACAATCTCATACGTCTTATTTCACTGTAACAACATGGTCGTTATCACTCAAATCACTGCCACCATGGTAAAGGAATGAGTAGTGAAAGCAATAATTACTCATCTTTGCATTATTACTAGCAACACAGTCAGCTAAAGCTAACAACAACAACACCTACATGTATTAGCATTACCTTAGCCAAGTCATATATATCCATACTTACCCTTGCAGTCACTTTGTAAACCGTGTAGCCTTTCCCGTGCTTTTTGGGGTCCGTGACAGTATAAAAACGAGCCAATTCTCCTTTGTCCCGCTGAGATATCATTCTGAGAGTGACATTTCCACAGCTAGCTGGGCACATTCATTCACAGCAATCACTGAAAGGCAAGTGTGAGCGCCCCCTAAAGAACAGGACACGTAACTGCAGTATGTGAGAAAAATAACAATATAATTAATCGTGGTGTGGTTTTATTTGAAGAAGAATGCAGCTGATGTTATTTTTTTTTTTAAATAGTTATACACTTATTCTCTGTGCAAGAAATGTCCATTGCAACCATGAACATCGTCCTTCTTTTCGTTTCATATGAATAAATGTAATGCCATGTGTAATCCAACAGAGGCCACTATGATAACATGTGTGCTACTAACGGCTACTAAAGAGAATACAATAAACAAAACATTATTTATAGAATTTAAATTAAGAGGTAAACGTGTTAATTACATACAAATAAACGTAACAAAATAGATACATGTAGTGTATGAGGTGCATTAACTAATACAACTTAGCTGTACACGCTAAAGTACAAATAGTTAATGTTGTAGATTATGATGATTATAAATGATGCATGAATAATGAGACAGATCCATACATAATGTATGGACCTTGAGTCCGGAATAAAGATTATTATAATTATTATTATTATTATTATTATTATTATTATTATAAGCCTGATTCAAATGTTGACTTGTGATACTTTCCGGTGGTTCGGGTCACTCCCTCCTTCCCCATTGCTGTCAGTGCCTCCATACCGCTCCATACGCGTTCAAACAACTTGTTGGCACCAGCTCCTTCTATTGCGATTTAGAGCTTTAATTTTTAGTCGAAAGAGATTGGATACGTTTTGTAATGTGTTAAAGTTTCTGTCGCTGTTGTCTCGTGGGAAAGGATCGTAGTTTGTTCTTGTTTAGCTCCAAAGCAGCGGGGAAAATGTCCAGCTGAGAAGCGGAAACCCTGAGAGCCGAGGCCTCTTTTGGTAATGATTGGTCAACTCTTCCTACAATGGCAGTAAAGGTAGGTCCTTCGTGTCGTGAGGAAGGTTCAGTGGCCGAGAAATGTGTTAAGTTGCTATAACTTTTAGTTGACAGCTGTTTTTGTGGATAGTACAGGCCACCTACTGGCCAGCTTCGTGAAGGCGCTGACTTCTGCAGCTCTCCAAGATTGTTTAGCTAATTCATGTGCAGGACTTATCTGTCTAATGCTTTTTAAAAGTCTCTATTGGGATGACTTTAATGAAGAGACATGCCGCTGATGCACATACATATATCATTTTCAATTCCTGCTAACGACATGGAAAATGTGCAGTGTCTTGTGACATTTTACTACCTTTCCAGTTTGGGTCATCTGTGCTCCCTAGGAATCATGGGAATTGTAGTATATTGTGGATTCTTGCTCCTGGATTGGTTTGAAGCGTTTACTATACCAAATGTTGTTCTTTTGTTTACTTTCTAACCATATGGCATAACACGTGGATCTGTATTCGTGTAGAATCTCAAGTGTGGTGCCTACTTTATATTTACATTAACATTTAATGTGCATTTTATTGTGAAAACCAAGCTTTGAAAATACGTTATATTTTATATATTGCTATAAACATTAGTTAATGAATAACGTTTTTCCTTGTTTGTTGATGAAACTTTACACTAATGATATGGCAAAGTTAAAGTGTCATCAAAACGACAAGAAAACCCGCCCTACCTGTTTCAGTTTGACCTGTAGCCGATAACAATATAAAACACAGGTTTTTTTCTGATTCCAGGCAAAGGTTTTATATGAGTTTGCTGCGGAGCCAGGCAACAACGAGCTGACGGTCCATGAAAATGAGACTATCACTATCACCAATCAGGTACAGTGTGTTGACAACGAGTGGGCTCTCTGCAAATATTTACCTGGATCTAAAGTATAAACAGGAAGTCCATTGTCATTCCACATGTCCACATGTCATTGCTGCTGCTCTAAGAGTTCAAAGGCCATCCTGCGTGTGCTGACGGTGCTGACCTACATAGTTTTCTAATCGACATTGTCCCAATCTGTAGCTACTGTTTTTCCTCAGCTGAATACTGTGTAAAGTAGGTGTGAAACATAGCCACTAGCCAACTGGATTGTGTTTCCGTGGTTATCACACCTCAAATGAAGTACATTGTGAATTATATAATTATTTTACTTTGTAGATGCAAGAATAATTATTATTTTTCTGTCCTTATAGAGTATTGGAGGTGGTTGGGTCGAAGTACAAAACTCCAGAGGAGATGTTGGACTGGTACCTGAAGACTACATAGAGGTAAAAGTAAAAAAAAAAAAAAAGAATCATGCAATGCCTGTTAAAAAATGTTGTCTTGAGTGCTCTTATCTATAGCTTTGAGAAACAAAAATACACATAACTCATTTTAATCAGCTCTTCTTCTGAATTATGTTGTCCTTGTGCTGTTTGTGAGTGGTATGGTGTGATTTTTATTTTTTACAGGGGAACAGTGCACAATAAACATTAGCTAAGAGGAGAGACTCATTGTACCAGGTTTTAGCAGCAGTGCTAATTTACTCCTGTAGTCCCTGAGCCGGTTGTTGTAAAACGGTAACACAAAAGTAATGGGATACATGACCTTTCATTTGACCAGTGTGCCCACTAACAATGACTTTATCATGTGGATGTGATTCACTCATACACTTCTTTTAGAAAGTTTAGCTCAGTCAATATAATTATACTGTGCAGCGTTTGTGTTTAACAAATAATTAAGAAGGCGTGGATCTTAAAATGCCCTGAGCTCTAGATGTGGTTGCGTAGATGTATGTTAATCAAGTTAACATTTTTAACAAAACACTAAATGCTTTTGGGTGCTCAAATTGATGGTGGTTGGATGTAGTCTTTCCCAGGGCAACTTACCAGCGCTAAGTGAATGAAAATGACCTCAGTGTTGCTCTCAGCGGCTTGTCCAGAGTGTGAGGCACTCTGCATAGATAAGTCCTTTAAGTACATCGGGCCCTCACAAATTTTGAATACATCCATGTCATCTTTAGGGCAGTGCCAAAATCCAATGAAAACAAATGTGATCCCGCAATCTTGATTTTCTGCGTTACTCATAGGGTCTTAAAGGAAAAAAATTTGCTCTTCGTCCTTAAACCACTGTTTTGGTACTTTCACAAATGTTTAACCTAGTTATGCACAATTTCATAAGTTGAGTCTGCCTGTGTTCTGCCTGTGTGCAAGCAAATGTCAACTTTCAATAAGAAAAAAAACACTCAAACTGTGTTAATGTGTTTATTTTATTTTTACTTTTTTTTTTTTTACAGTTTTTCTCTTAGTTTGCCCAGCCCTGTTTGTGAAATGAGGTTGGTTCATTTTTAAAGATGGGGTACCAGACTTATTTTTTCATAAAATATACATTGAAATACAAATATGCTGTGTTCATCTTATTAGAAAACATGTCATCGTATGAATTCTTGTAAGATAAGATAAGATGAGATAAGATATGCTTTATTTATCTCACAAAGGAGACATGTCTCATTTGGCATGGATAGAAACACTCAAGATTGTGCAAAAAGAGAGGAAATGTGCAAACATGTTAATTGCAGGAAAGAGCCCTATAGCTCACTAACTGATGCTTTGGGCTGAGAACTGATTGGTTGAGTGAGGGTGGTCCTCTTCGTTCACTTTTCTGTCTAAAAAAAGCTGATCTGAAGATGTAACAAGGGCAAAGAAAACAAAGACTATGGATTGATTGAAGTGTTTTGAAAGCAAGAAACAAGTTTGTTTGATGGATTATTAGTTATATTTTTGTGTGGTTATGTATCCGCAGATTTCAATTCATTTTTTTGTTCTTTTTTTATCAACGTATGTATTTTCTGTGTTTCCAGGTCATTGCATCAGCACCGTCATTCCCTGCAGCAGCCCCCACACCCCCTCCTCCCAGTGCAGGAAATGTAGCAGCTCCAGATTTGTCCTTCTTTGATGCCTTTGCTCCTGCCTCTGCCCTTCCCTCCAACCAGGTGGGATTTATCTTTTCTTCTGCTTTAGATTAGTTTTCCCTCAGTTTGGTTCCTGTGTTCATGATTTGAAATTTTTAAAAGCCAAAAAGCAGAAGTGGAAAACTTATTTTTACCTGTGCTGTCTGAACAGTTGGCAGACAACCAGGTGTCACTTAACTTTTAGTTACAAATAAAGTTTGTCAAGCATTCTCAAGAATTGTAAGCAAAGGTCAGACAGAACTGATAACAATGGTGTCCGTTTTTCTGATTCAGCAATTTGTAGTATACAGAAGGAAATGCATCAGCAAGTGACTCACTCTTCCCCTCACAGACTTCTGCATCTCTGAACTATAACATCACCATCACGTTTTCTTTTCCTCAAGGTGGACACTGGGAGTTTGAGTCCCATGCCTGATACCCCAGACACCCCACTCTCTCCTTTATTTTGTTTTCCGAACGAGGTAACAGGAAAGGGCCTGGAATGACTCAGTCTGCCCCCTCCCTCTGATCAGTTTTGGAAATGTGCCCTTGTGATGCTGTTTAAAGCATGTAGTCACTTATTTCTGATTAACATGCACATACCGTTTTCAAATCAGCACCAGATAATGACACTGCTCTGTTCTTACTTGAATCAATATGGTTTTAACATGGCTTGTGAGATTAATTGCATACCAGGCAAAGGTTTGGACATGTTTTACGAGAGTACCGTTACCTGTTCTGCATATAAAACATGACGTTGTATTTCTCTGTAGAAAACATCTTGTGCTTTTTTGTTTTCGAAATATATGTTTGACATTGCATGATGTGATTCTAAAACATGAAACCTGCCACTAGGGCTAAAGGTTATTTAAGATTGGTCTTCACATAAAAAGTAAAAGTACAATAATATTTATTTATTCCTTCTTTCATTATTTTTCAGACTAGTAATGGTGGGGACCCCTGGTCGACGTGGAATGCTGATCCCTCAGGAGGCTCTTCCAACAACTGGGCGTCAAACCCCGAGGGCACTCAGACGGGGAAGAGTGCGGCGCCAGACCCCTGGAGCTCTGTGTCACACGGTCATCCTCAGGCTTATCAAGGACCAGGTCAGAACATGGACATGGTCCAGGACGCAAATCTGTCATTTTATTGTACAAATGGGAAACCCATCTTCTGAGACAGCAGAAGATGGGTTTTTGATGATATAAGATGCTATTTGATTAAAATAAACTTTCTTTGTTTCTTTCTGAAGGCCCTTATCCTTATTTGATTGATTACACAGGTATCCTGTGTCTTGTAGTTTTGTGCATGATAACAAAAGGGTTGATATTTTGAACAAATAACAGCATGTTCGAGAAGAACGCTTGATCTAAGTGACCATGAATGTATTAAGTTTGAAATAGTTTTATTGCTTACAGCGCAACTCAATGAACCATGCTGAGCTCCTCTGATCTCCTAACAAGGAGATATCAGTATCAAGGACCAGAGGCTGACTACACTGAGCTTCAGCGAGGTTCATTGAGGAATCTTATTATGGCATTTCTGAGAGTGCCTTGACTTTTGTATTTTTTGTGTTTGAACATAATAATATTCATTTTAATACAGGACAAAATGCCTGTTGAGTATGTTTCATCCCAAGTGTGTCTTGTGGCATGCTCTGTGCACCATTCTTGTCCACATATCTGTCTTGTTCACACAATGAACCTGGATGTTCTGTGACAGGGGCGGAAGACGACGAGTGGGATGACGAGTGGGACGACAGATCCACTGGAGGTTATGCGGAGTCTGAGGCGGGAGAGGCTGGAGCTATGCAGAGGGCTCACACAATGAAAATATCTCTCAACAAGTAAGAACCCATCAACGAAACAATAGCCACATTTAAAGTTCATAAAACATGTGGTTACAATACATACGTTTTCCTCTATGGCTGAGCAGGTTTCCCTTCTCCAAGTCTGGTCCAGAGTTGTATCTCCTTTGCAAACAGCTTACGAAAGGAAAAGAGAAGCTTCCAATTTATGTGAGAATGTCCTTCCAAACCAAGATCCCCTTTCAGTCTTACTTTTCTAATGTATTTGTTTTTTCAACGTTCTGATCAGATGGGAGAAGTCGGTGCAGTTTGGTCTTACCCAGAGACACAACTCGACTGTGTTGTAGCCGATCCCAAAAAAGGCTCAAAGTTGTACGGCCTTAAAAGTTACATTGAATATCAAGTTATACCCAATGTGAGTATTTCAATGTTTTTCATAGTATTAGACGTTAAAGCATGTTTTCTAACCAATTGTGACTCTTTCCTAGACCACAAATAGACCAGTCAACCACAGATACAAACACTTCGATTGGCTTTATGAGAGACTTTTGGACAAATTTGGCTCGGCTATCCCCATCCCGTCTTTACCGGACAAGCAAGTGACCGGTACAGTGCATGCAAAAACTCACTCACTTTACGTTTGTTGTTGAAATGTCTAGAATTAGTTGTATTTGTGTGTCTGTGCCAGGACGTTTTGAGGAAGAGTTTATTAAAATGCGCATGGAGCGGTTGCAGGGTTGGATGACCAGAATGTGTCGACATCCAGTTGTTTCTTGTAGTGACGTCTTTCAACTATTTCTCACCTACAAGGACGAGAAGGTTGGACTTTAACATCATTTTTAGATTTCGCAAGAGAGATGGTTCAATAGGCCCGAATGTGAAATGGTATTCTAATCCTACTTATGCACTTATCTGAGATTGGCTTTCAGATGATAAAATTTTATTTATCTAACTAATGTATAATTTTATTTTTTCATCTATGTATGTATTTATGTTTGCTGCTTGTTAGATTTCAGAATTTCAGAATGTGCACTGAATGTCACTTTATCTACTAATCCTGCCCTATATGTATATAACTTTGCACTATATATATAAAGAAACATAGCAGCTACTCATATTGTATATTTGTGTGCTCTTACTACTGTCCTACATGTGCGCTGCAACATTGAAATTTCCCCACTGTGTAAGGGCTGTCTTAATCTCATATTTTCTCAAGGATTGGAAAACGGGCAAGAGAAAAGCAGAGAAAGACGAGACGGTTGGAGTAATGATCTTCTCCACGATCGAGCCTGAAGCAGCCGACCTGGACCCTGTGGAAGTGTAAGTTTGGTCAACCTTTAAAAAAAAATGAAGGGATTGATAAAATATGGACTTAGCTGCTCACTGTTGTTTCTCCTCAGTGAGCAGAAGTGTGAGCAGTTCAGCCGGTTTACCAAAGCCATGGACGACGGCGTGAAGGAGATTCTCACAGTGGGCCACGAGCACTGGAAGAGATGCACAGGCCGTAAGTGCTCAGCCTAATGCTTGTTTTCTGTTTCCAATTGTTCTTTACCAAAAACATGTTTCGTTTTGTTTTGTAAACTTAACCCATTCACTCTGCTGTTTGTGTCCCATCACAGCATTACCCAAGGAGTATCAGAGGATCGGCAAGGCTTTCCAAAACCTGTCGTCTGTTTTCACCAGCAGCGGATACCAGGGTAAATACATTTATTATTTGACTTGGATCGTACGCGCGCTCTGATTGGCTGATTTGCGGTCTGATATTTTCCCATCTCGGACCGTTAACATGACAATTGGTCCGCAGCATGTATCAGATTTGATATCTTTACTCGGTAAAAAAGAAATAATGGGCAACGACTGGGAACATTCTCCAGTGAATTCTATAATCCGGACGAGTTCGAAGAGCCAGAGGAAGTAATAACAGCAAATAACGACAAAAACACAACTCCTAACAGTCAAGAAGAGATTGACAACTTTGTTACAGACCAGAAAGCTAAAAACACGATTAGAAACCCCAAGTCACACGAACAGGACACGAACATACTTCACAAATGTCTAAAAAGCATTGGTAAAGACGCAGAAGAGAGTGAGAACTTACCAGCAGGCGACCACAATCAGCTGATAAGTTCTTCATGCCACGATTTGACAGTTTGGTTGCATGTGTTTTTGCTAGTTGAAACTAATCGATATTTGCATAAATAAAAATAGTCATATAATAAAACATTTAATAACCTTGCTTGCTCGGTCTGTACAGAGAAATATCAGACCTTGGTCTTATTGCACAGACCTCGCCACAGCTCGGTCTGTACAAAAAGTCTGTACAGATATTTCTCTGTACAGACCTCGACCTCTTTCATGCTTCAGCCCCAGACTGTCTCAGACGTCTGTCACTGAAATCTGGTTGAACAAACTCAAAAGTTGAGGAGTAACTTATCCAATGAAATCTCTGAGTTAGTTTCAGTGAGGTCAGGTTTATGTGTTGCTTAAAGCTGATATAAGACGAGACAGAGAGAGGCAGGGCTCAGCCAATAGGAAGACCAGAGGTGAGGGGGCTTGGGTGGGACACGGGTGGAGTTGATTGCAGCAAAATATAGTTTCCAGCTCTGCCCTTTTCTTCTAAATAAAATGGTTTGCCAATTTGCGGAACGTCCTAATTTGTTGGTGGGACAGATTACAAAACATATTATTGTGAAATTAAACAAAAAAGTACTTAACACAATGTGGTCACCAGGTCTGACTCTTGTTTCCTCATGACGCTGATAGTTCGTATGTAGAAACAATAGTGGAAACCCACTGAGGCAACACGCTGATTGCTAAACGTGTGTTTAGGTGAAGCCACCCTCACCGACGCCATGACGGAGGCAGGCAAGACTTATGAGGAGATCGCCCTGTTGGTTGCAGAACAGGTACGTTGTGTGCAGTGTGTGGTGTGTAGTGCTACGCCAGGGGTGCTCAATACGTCGATCGCGATCTACCAGTCGATCGCAAAGGTAGTATTGGTAGATCGCATTAAATAAATAAAAAATTACACATTCTAAACAAATATATACAAAAAACTCCGGGCAAAGTGGAGATTTTTGAAAACTCCGTTAATGCATTTGTGTGTAGACAGAGATAACCAGAGTTTTGCGTTCTCGCACGCCACAGTACCCCCCTAAATTCCTCTGATCACTGAAGCATGGATCATACTACCTTAAAAACTGTTCGCTGTGAGATGCTCGCAGCAGCGAACATCCTCGCTCCACATCAGAGAGCAGCAAAGTGATCGCGGGGACTCACGCTCGAAAACAACCAAACCAGGACTAAGCCAGGGCTGAGGACGGGGTCAGTGCTTGTAAACATACGTCTTACTCTTTACTCTGAGTGTCTTCTATGAGTGTAAAAGTGCCGTTACCGGCGTCTGCATCAAAGCTCCGCCCACTTCTGTGTTTTTCCCCAACGCAGGACAGGACGTAAGAGACGCACATGTTTGGAATGTTACGAATGTGATTGATAACGCAGATGTGTGGATGCAAATTATTTTATAAACGGAGGAGGGGAAATATTTGCATTTAAAAAAAACAGACATGGACATGGCACCACAGTCAAATGACATCTGTGTTTTACTCAGTAAAGTTTTACTGACACTTAGGTGACTGCACATGCGCAAACAACCGCGCTCAGTGCAGGAAAGCTAAACCACGATAAACTTGTCAGCGAGTTGCCACCAATTTTCCGGACTATGCATCCCTGGCCGATTCAGTGCAAGTCATCAGAGTAAACTCGGGTAATGACAAAAAATGTACATAGGTAATTGTGTTGTGTTGTGCTATATTGGCTCATGCGGTTTTGCATGTACATAAACATACATTTATGATATAAAGAATATTTTTTGAAATATATGATTTGCATTTTTGTAGTAGGTAGATCATTTTGACTTGATCCTTTTATAAGTAGCTCGCATGCTGAAAAAGTGTGAGCACCCCTGTGCTACGCTAACTGTAGTGTTGTGAAAGCAGAGAATTGCAACGCAGTGGAAGATGAATAAACCACATGTTGTTTTAATTTAACCCTTTAGGCGCCAAAGTGCTTATTTATAATCATTTATTTGTGTCATTGATTTTAGTAGTCTGCTATTGCTACTGACATTTCAGGGCTCCACCTTTTGTCTGATTCACCTCAAATATCTGTCCCAAAAAAACCTAACTCTGAGCTCCTCCGCTTCATGTTCACATTGTTTTGTGCGGTGAACTCTGCTCCCATGTCCTGCCAGTCTAATCTGTACAAGGACATCCTACTTCCCAAGGCTGCATTTATTTCACAAGATGGATCGACACCATAGATTCCACATTCTTGGCATGTTTGCAGCGGTATTTAATGTTATCTCGGTTCATCCAATACGAAACAAAGACTGGGATAACGTTCAAAAGACGCCACACACACACTAATATATTCAAATGGTGTGATCGTAACAGCCGCATTTGTGAATATTTCTTTAAAAAAACACCCCCAACTCAAGTCATTTTAGTAATTGGAGCTTGGATTGTGTTTGTTTTGGTGTCCCTGCAGAGTACAGATGAGTTAGTCTGGTTACTTGTGATCCATAAGAAAGTAGATCTAGTTTTTATTCCTGAGGGAAACATTTGAAATCTACAGCAGGACGTTTGTGATGTATTGTTGCGTTTCCTTCCTTCCTTAATCTCTTGAATCCCCGCTGCCATTTTCTCTTCTCTCCATATTTCATTTATGGATAACGACGCGACAGTGACTAAATGCTTTTGAATGTTTTTCAGCCCAAAAAAGACCTTCACTTTGTCATGGAAACCAACAACGAATACAAGGGTCTGCTCGGCTGCTTTCCAGACACAATTGGAGTCCATAAGGTGCGTTATTTACAATCCGCCTTTTGCTCTTCTGCTGGCTGTTCTGATGCTTTCTCACTCCCCACAGGCCGCAATAGAAAAAGTAAAAGAAGGAGATAAACTGGTTGCAGCAGGAAAAATCACAGCTCAGGAGAAAGTGACCATGGCCAAACGTGTTAGCACGATGTCTTTTGCATTACAAGGTATAGTAGTTAGTTACACTGTGAGCTGGTTTGATTCAATGATGTTAATTTGTCGTTTTTTTTTTTTGTCCTGTCGTTTTAAGCTGAAATGAACCACTTCCATAGCAATCGTATCTATGACTACAACCGGGTCATGCAGCAGTACCTCGAGGAGCAAATCAAGTTTTACGAGACGGTAAGAGCGTTTTTATTAGGGAATGTCGGTGTGAAAAGAGGATTCCTATCCCAGCGTAGCAGGCACATTCTTATCTCCACGGCGATGATTAAAGCTGTAGTATCAAGATGTTTTATTCATGCTGTTTTTTTATCTTCTTAGAAAATATTTGGTCTTTTGAGAGCTGAGTGAGTCTGGTTTCTTCTTTTACTGTATACAAAAGCTGGTTCAAAGGGATAGAACCAAACTAGTTACATGTATGTTATTGTATAGATATTTGTGGTTAGGTTCAATTTAATTAAAATCAGTTTATACTTGTACAGCCCTAAATCATAACAGTAGTACTACACAAAACACAAAAAATATAGAACACATAGAAATTGGTCCTTAGGGAGAGTTGATGTCCATGAATGTTGATAAAGGTGTAGATGCTCCAGCTTCACCGCAAAAAATGATAAAATATGAGTTAATAATTGCTTGAAATTGAGTGGTTTTTACCTTAATTTGACTGTCCTAAAACACGATATGCCAATGGGACGAAGCCATTTAGTCTTATTGTATGTTTTTTCTCATTCCAAGAGAAACATTTCTTGTATCTTTTAAAACAATGTAATTTTGCTTGTCCAATTGGCAAATCTTGTTTTAAGGCAGTCAAAATATTCTCAAATTAAGATACATTTTGCCAAATTGGAACATTTTTTTTTATTTTTTATGTTTCATCACTTTTTGCTGTTTGATCTCATAATTTGTGGCATCTCTCTGGGGTCAAGAAATTGTTGTAAAATAAACAATAATGTGCTGTAAAGAATATAATTTGCATGTTGGACTATATCATTAGTGATTGAATGCCTTTATTAGTGCCACATGGGGACATTTCAAACAATATACTAATTACATACAAGCCATTTGAGAAATTCTACAAATTTGTCTTTTGTAAACTACTTTGTCTCAGAGGAGAATGTGCCTGCTGTACTGAGAGAACGAAACACATGTTTATCCATTTGACTTATCGATGTGTTTGTTTGAAGAATACGATTTCTTGCTTCCTTCACAGATCGCGGAGAAACTGAAACATGCGCACAGTCAGTTCACCACCATGTGAGAATCCTCGCACTACAAGAACCCCCGGATATTTCCATTTGTACAATTGTTTTGGCCACGTTTTATTTAATTTGTACTTTTATTCACCTGTGCCTTAGAATAAAAACGGTATAATGACATTTCATCGGCCAAAGTCAGTGTAAAATTCTTCAAATACTTGTTTGGTGGACAGTACTGTGCAAAGGTCTGTAATGCTTTCAAAATCAGTTTTCCGTCTGTATTCTGTGAAGTAACGTTGACAAGGCCACATTTATAACTAGCCACAACCGCAAGGCTAAAACATTGTTATCTGCTTAAAAATCTGGGTTTGACATGACACTTTTGCACAATACAGTCCCCTGATGTACGCAGTAAATCTATTGCGTTGCATTATGTTTGCTCACGCCTTCTCCAGGCAGTTGTTGAGTTCAGCGCTTCCTTGAAATACAACAGGAAACTCCCATCTCCTTCCTTTATGTGCCTTTTTTTTAATTATCATTGAATCAAACAAAAGTGCTTAAGCATACCATGATATGCTAAGATAATACAGTTTGCATTAGAGACAGCAATTCACATTTCTATCACAGTTCAAGTTAAAAAAAAAAGAATCATAACAAACATTGAAAAGTATATTTTCAGGAAAGAGAATGAATAGATGTTTTTAAGGTGTATGAAGCAATATAAATGTAACAGCCTGTACTATAAGAGCTCTGGTTACAGCCGGAGAATATGTGATGTATTCTGTTTTACTTTCTGCCTTCCACAAGCTTAGCAATCATCTAATCTTTTACACTTTTTACTTTCCTTTGACTATATACCTGTAAGTAAGAAAAATAGAAATGTAACTTTACTTTTGAGCACTTCTACTGCTCCATCACTTTTATGTATAGAGCCTCTGTAACTAAATTCTGTTTATTAAAGAATGATTTGTACTCGTTCTCCACAGTCAGTGTTTAAATGTGACTGTTATGATGTGTCTTATATCAGTGATCGTGTCCCGTCCTCTGGTTTGACAGTATTTTCTTTTCCCCAAATGGTAAGTTGTGTTGCTCTCTGACACAGAGGGGGCTGAGTCACGGGTCAAAGAGTGTCTGTTCACTCTCTCAAAGGGCTCTTTTAGCACTCGCTCATCTGGACGAGGCTGTGGGTGCAGCTGGATGTCGCCTCCTTTTAATGTACTCCCATTTAGAACTGTCTGTGTCATTAAGCAGGAATGATATCAATAACACTCAGTTTACAAAACTATCAAAAGTTTTTTTTGCATACACAGTATGCCTAATATGCACATTCTGATGCACTTTACAAAAATACAAAAGCTTTAAAGGCTGTGATAAAATGTGCAATATCTATCAAATGTGCATTTGTAAAATCTGCCTTTACTCTGATTCAAGGCGACACGCGTCTTCTGAAGGACCGTGGCCGAATCATCATTGTCACTTTACGCAGAGAGTAATAATCCGAGTCTTTCCACGCGTGCCACACGATACCGTCAGGACCCAGAGGACCACGGCCTCGAGGGGTGTAGTGTCCTCCCTGCAAGTGAAACATCAGTCACACAGTGCTTCTCAGTGGTCATGCATCTGCACATTTTATTTTTATATATATACAGTACATATAGGGGCGACAGTAGCTCAGTTGGTAGAGCATTGGCCTTAAGGCCAGAAGGTCGTGGGTTCAATTCCCACCTCTGCACCTTCTCCACCGACTCCCACTGATGACTGCTGTTGTTGTGTCCTTGGGCAAGACACTTAACCCCACTTTGCCCAAAGCCCCCACTGAAAGATCAAGGCTATGCTCACACTCAGAGCAGCCGCCCTCCTGTGGACTCCCCACCTGCAGAGGGTCAGTGAGGGGCTGGTGCTATGAGACTTGGGTGGCATCTCTGACTGCCACCCCCCTGACCCAGAAATGGATTAAAGGGTAGAAGATGGATGGATGGATGGATACAGTACATATGTACATCTCATTACCCTGTGGTAAACTCCATTCAGGTGGGCATAAAAGCACTGGTTGTACCACCATCCCCCATGGGAGATCTCAGCACAGATGTTGCCACTGTCTGGAGTGCTGAAGCTCTGTTTGTCGTGGTACCAGCCGAACGAGTCTGGCACCGAGCCGCTGAAGCCCGAGACATGGAGGCGGTACTGATGCTCCTCGTCCTCCACTCTGAAGCAAACAAGCATGTTGTATTTGTCAGATAATGTTTGTTAGACCCTGAGAGTCTAGTGTACATCACCTAAAGTTCTGGTAGATGGCATGTTTGTGCTTGTTGCTCCAGTCTTCCATGTCGATACGCAGCACGTACCCCCCCTGAGAGGTGAGGTCGTGGATGTGATCGTTTCCCAACCAGAACTCTGAGTGCAGGTCTCCAAACCCATCTCTGTAGTCTCCCCAGCTCCGATCAAAGGTGACAGAGCCATCCACCCTCCTCTGGATCACTGTCCAGCCCCCACCTGCAGAACACAGGGGCAAGGTGGAGAAAGCACCCTTACTATTATGGTGGATAGACAGCTGAGGCCTACGCAGGTGGACAAACGCAAGACAAAATATACAAGTAATATCTTGCTCTCACAGTCACAAGGACTCCGATTGTGTATCCGTGTTATCAATCCAATATGTTCTGATTGTCTCTTGATGCAACACGTATGCCTTTCTATGTGTGACGTACTGTATCTTTGACGTAACAATGACTATATAAACCATGTCCTGACTTTTTCTGTCTGAAAAAAACTGAAAAAATTGAGAGAAACTGGCTTTGGTGCGCACCGATACCGTCTCTGTGAGGTTAATTTTCCACACTATATACCCTGATTGGGTTAGAGGTAAAAAGCCAAAGGTTAATGAGAAGTCAATTAAAGATGGAGTACATAACTTTCTCTAAGTTCTTTTTTATTGGATAATCAAATCTAAAAGTTATCTTGTCAATGTGATTTTCAGACACATCTGAAAGGTTTTTTTTTTTTCATTTTTATATCCATCATCTACTCAAAATAAAAAGAATGATCAAAAAAACCTCTTAGCCTACCGCACACCTGCACACACAATGGGACTATTTACCATATATCAGGTTACAGGTTACAGGTGACCAGTCTTACAGATGGCTGAGGTCCAGACAAGATAACCAGCGCTGTAATTAACTTTGAATACGTTTGTGTGAAGCTCTACTCACCATCTGTGTCCATATCGCAGTAGACTTCCATGGGAGTCCCTGACATGGCTGTTACCACAGTGTGCAGACCTGATCTCCTCACACCATTGTAGTAAATGGAAGCACAGTCTATGGGGCAGTTCCTAATGTGCTGTGTTTCTGCAGAGGGAAATACAAACAATGGTTTAAGTGTCTTATGCCCTCTGCTGGTGGAAAGGTGCACTGTTCAACCTGGATGGTGATGAGGTTCTTGAGAACTCATCAATGAGTTGGGCTGAAGGATATTAACCAAACAGCCAGGACTTCTTTTGACTCGATCCACCACTTCTGTTAGATTATGGACCTGGTTCTGATAAAGATGGATGTGAAATGCATTATAATACATACTGGTTCTATCAGGCAAACCATATTTTAAAAAATATATTTCAGTCGTAACATTAACTTAATTTCTAAGTGTGTGTGTCTGTGTGTTTTTTTAAATAAATATTACAACCCCTTTGGCTTGTAACATATGAAAACACCAGCCACAAAGACTGCGGGTATTGCACTAAGCGTGACCTTATTAAACTTGTGACAATTACATAATATTTTACCTGCAGGTCCAGTATGAGGGTCCCCTGTATGTGCAGCAGGCTGGTGGCCTCGCTGTAATGCTGCTCCATATCATGAAGTCTCTGTTGGATGGACATGTTCAGATGAGCCCTCTCGTCCCTCTGTCAACGGAACATGCTTCAATAAGTGTGATGTCAGACAGAGTTAGGTCCCAGATGGCTGTTTGCATTGTTTGTGGAAGATCATGTAGTTAAAGGTCATGTAGTTACAGGTGTGAGCAGCAGGATAATCCTTTTAGCTGCAAAGGTCAAGGACGGGGTACGCTGGTGTTAAGACATGAGCTCTGACAAGGCACTTTTTTACAAGTGTGGCAGGGCCATCAAACGTCATCTCACTTTAACTAGTTCCCATCAGATTATATGTATTGTATGAATTAAGTAGGTATAATTAAGCAAAGTTTTTATGTTGTATACTCTCATTCAGACAAGCTATCTGGGTGATACAGTTAAAGTACAGAGCGATACAGTATATTATATTTGACCTGGAGCTCCAGGACCTGTACGCGGTGCCGGTGGTTCCGCAGCTCCTCCTGCAGCTCGGACACAGTCTCTCTGAGCGCAGACAGCTGCCTCTTCAACTCCTCGTTCTCATGAAGCCAAAAGGACACTTCATCTGTGCAGCGGAACATATCCGGACACCTCTGTCCCCCCAGCTGAGGCAAAGTGGCCACAATCCGACACATGCCATTCTCTGTCAGCTGCAAGTGGAAAATAACATCCAAAATTTTCATTTCTTTACCAAGAGTTATAAGATTACCATCAAAGAAAATACAAATCATGAATTTAATCTCCCTATAAACAAATCAAAACTGGTCCACGAAATGCATTCTGCCATGCACCCTGATATGTTCAAGGAGGTATGCTTTAACTGTAAAATGTTTGTATCCGTTATAAGACAATATGTGACAGTATAAATGGAACAATGCAAACACAGATAAGCATCAGCTCCAACACTTGATTGGTGTACTCGCCACACTGCGTTCCTCCTCCGTCAGATCCAGTCGTATTGAAACCGTCCACCTCAGCCACCAGCACGAGCCGCATCCACAGCCACAGCCCAGAAGCCACACTGCTCCAGGGGCCCATGGCTCCACAGGGGGAAACTAAAGGCCTTTCCTTCTGGGAGAGGAGGCAGCAGTCCACTTACCCATCCCCAGGTGGACTTCATCTGTGGCTCCCTTCAAAACATATGTATTGTATTTAACGTTTCAGTTTGGACATAATGTTTAAAGACACTGGACGTTGGATAATTAGGACCAGACCACAATCCCACTTAGTCTATTACATTACTGTCTCCAAGCTCGACCCTGCTTAACGTGGTTTAAGCACACACCTGCCTATTGCTCTCCTTAAGCAACAACCACTGTGCAAACTTCTACACAAGAAACAATCCAATTATGTGTAATCAATTTGTTGATGAGTAATTTCCAGAAAAGACTTGATATGTTTGTATGTATAATCCAGTAACAAATAAGAATCAGATAAATGAGTAGTATGTGTTCTTATCACATTTTCGCTCAACCGGGTGACGGATGGAAATATTCCTAGTATTCAGAAAAAGTTATTTTAAAGCAGAGTTACCAAATACATTTCCAAAGTATTTCCCCCTACACTCACTGTGGCAAACTATTAGAGCATGAAATTATGATACTACATCCCTATGTCCGCTCTCGCACCAGTGTTACATACAACATTTGTGTCTGGGACTGCCACTGACTCACCTCAAGTCCAGAGCTCTGGTTTCAGGACACAGTCTTCTTCAAGTTTTCTGAATAAAACAGCATGCATGTAACGAGGAGGTGTTCCTATCTGCTGTGAGACATGTCCTTTATGTTCTTCCTCCTTCACTCTCACTGCAGACATCTTAGACCCATAATCCACCTGTAAGAGGATTCCACCAGAGATAGAGACAAACAGAACAACCAATACACATGAATAACACTTGCTTTTGTAATATTCTTTTCTTTTGAAATAAAGCCTACAATATTTTTATTTAGATATAGACTTCATCCACTACTGCTATTGTAACAAACCCAACAGGCTTCAGTTAATGAACTCCACTTCACTCTATAGTCTGTCTAGGTGAGGACTAGCCCATAATAAGGCTGCATCTACAATATACGTTCCAATGCAAACTATATGAACTTTATTTTTAGTTTTAAAAATATCTCACCTAAAAGAAACCACATCCTTCACTGACCACATGCAGGCGCAGGACAGAGTGAGAGCAAAGGGGAGTGATCCTATTAAACACGCCAAGCTGTTGGCTCTGTAGACCTTTGTGCACGTGGCGTCCACTTGCTCCAGTCCTTCCTGAGACTACATTTACTGCAGATCTACAAATAATCCGTTTAAAGTCGTCTTCAAGCAATAGAAACTTGTCAATAATACTCAAGTTGCGCGAAGATTCGTGTTTGTCGTTACGTAAGATTCCACTAGGAGGCGACAACATACTATGATACACACCTTCCTCCTTTTTGTTCTTCTTATTTGTTATTTTTTTTTTACTAAATAAGTGTAAGTACTAAGTATAAATATAGATACTATCATAGTACTATATTTTATTTAATATTTTAATTTTAGATTACATCAGCATGATGTCCCCAACAGGTCACAATGCCACATGTACACGTCAGAAACAAATTGTCCTACCCACGGGCACAGGGGGCGCCTGTGGTACTGCAGACTAAATTCACCCGGGCTGCCCAGAAAAAAGTCCCATAGAACTCAATATAAACTGAAACAGCTCGACCTCAGCTGACAGAGAACCTACAGCTTTTATAAAGATCGCATTTTGTGGGGATTTTAGTGTCCCTAGTCATCCTGAACTTTTTTTCTTCTTAAATCCTTCAGTGTTCTACCCACACTTCACACTTTAGTGCAACAAACTCTGTTTACCTCCCGCTCTAACTCCGTTTTAGCTCTGCTCTGATCAGCAGCTCTTGGATCACCGGGACTTGGACACGATTTGGTATATTATCAGGTTGAAAATGAAATGAAATGAAATGAAAGTGAAACAAGCACCGTTTTGCATACATGGACATTTGTGTGACTGAATTTGGCGGCTCTAAAAGTTGTACCAGCTAAATTATGCTAGGGACGCTGTTGTGCCATTTTTTTAGTCCCATGAAAAAAAAAACCACACCATTTTTGTGTTGGAAATGAAATTTGTGGGTTCAAGGAGTCAAATTAAGAATCAAAAAGCAGAAGTGAAAAGAAACAAAGAAGGTTTGTGAATAAACTATTATTGTTTGTATTATTATGTATCTGTTTATATGGATAGATGTGTTTCTGATTATTGTTATTATTATATTTATCTTAAAAATGAAATACCAATTATTCTAATGACAAAGATCCATTAGCTGTGACTGTAAAGTTTGGTTTTACTTAATCTTTTTTTTTTTTCAAACTCACCAATTAGAAATGGAAACCAATGGAAGCTGGGAAACTGTGGGTCATTCAACAGCAGGAATATTCAGCTTTATTTTCAAATGCGCACAATTCTTCATGGGATAAGTGCACACTGCGCTAGCACTTTTAAAGTAGCTCCCCATAGCTCCACACAATAAGTCATATACAATTAAAGTAGCTCCCCATAGCTCCACACAATATGTCATATACAATTAAAGTAGCTCCCCATAGCTCCACACAATAAGTCATATACAGTATTAAAGTAGCTCCCCATAGTTCCACACAATAAGTCATATACAGTATTAAAGTAGCTCCCCATAGCTCCACACAATAAGTCATATACAGTATTAAAGTAGCTCCCCATAGCTCCACACAATAAGTCATATACAGTATTAAAGTAGCTCCCCATAGCTCCACACAATAAGTCATATACAGTATTAAAGTAGCTCCCCATAGTTCCACACAATAAGTCATATACAGTATTAAAGTAGCTCCCCATAGTTCCACACAATAAGTCATATACAGTATTAAAGTAGCTCCCCATAGTCCCACACAATAAGTCATATAGGGAAGAATCAAGGTGCAATAGATTATATGTAGTGCATCATCGGAGAGTAAGTCTTTGGTATATTAGCGGGGTCGGGCCGGGTCGGGCTTGATTTTTCAGGCCCGAACGAAACTCTAGGTACATGTAGGTGCAGCTGAGGTGAAAGGGCAATAATCATGACAAAGACCACAAAGTTCTAGTAAGTTTTATTTATTTATTTCATAGCGAGGAGTGTGTGTGTGTGTGTGTGTGTGTGTGTTTGTGTGTGTGTGTGTGTGTGTGCGTGCGCGTCCCTCGGGTCCGGTATGTGTGCCGCGGTGATGCAGGACTGTCCACCGAGCCAGGACCGCTCCCTGAGGAGACTTTCCCAACCCTGTGGATCAGAAGAGCATCACTGCTGTAGGATGCTGTGTATCCTACACAGCATCCTACAGCACTAGGATGTAGCCCCCCTGAAAAGTGATCATTTTTTGTATGTATCGAGTGAGTGTGTGACCGGTCATTACTGTGTATATATACAGGTGTGTAACCTGCTGTGCTTTATGTCTGATGAAGGGTAGTGACCCGAAACGTCACAACAGTTTGTGGTGATAATTAAAATCTCTTGGGAGCATAAGCTGTGCAGAGTCATCTCCATTTCTTTGATGTCTCTACCTATGGTCCAATACCATGTGGTCTCTGCCTATGGACAATACCATGTGGTCTTTCCCTATGGACCAATACAATGTGTTCTCTCCCTATGGACCAATACCATGTGGTCTCTCCCTATGGACCAATACCATGTGGTCTCTCCCTATGGACCAATACCATGTGGTCTCTCCCTATGGTCAAATACCATGTGGTCTCTCCCTATGGTCCAATACCAGGTGGACCCCTGCTCTCGTGCCTCTTTCATATCCTTTGGTTTCGGCCTAAGTAACTGCAAATTTAATAGTTGTAACCTCTGCTGCTTAGATCCGCGATGCCGCTGTGTGCATTCTCGGTCCTGTATTTACTCCACGAGGACAAGAACCTTGAACTTGGTGTTTGCGACTCTCTCCACCTTGAGTTCTCTCTCTCCAGTCTGTCTGCTTCTAACTCCAGGAAGAGTCTGGTTCTGTGGTTGACGTCAACTTGACTGGACAGAGGAGGAGACCCCACATGGTCCGGCTCCTCACTGAACCTGGAAGAGTATTTCACTTCTGATCGTAAGGAACTGGTCTCAGACTGGTTCATTGTGGAGCTCAGTCTGTCGGACCATCTCTGCAGCTGGTCCACCATCGTCACCAGGTTCTCTCTCTCTTGGCGACAAGTTCTCAGCTCGTCGTTGGTCTTCTCCAGAAGCTCTAGAGAAACGTCACATCGACAGCCTGATGTCACGTACCGATGTTCTCTTTCTACCTCCTTCTTAAGCGTTGGAAAAGACTTTCTCTCTTCTGCTTTGTCTTTTTCTTCTAAATAACTCATTCTCTGACTCAGCCTCTCCACCTTTGCCTTGAGCCCGGTGTCTTGGCTCTCCAGATGGTTATGCCTCACCTTGAGCTCGGTCGGCAACTCCTTCAGCTCCAACATCTTGTCTGAGTTTTCCCGTTGCCTTTTCAGAACTTCGGCCTCGTGTCGAAAGTCCAGTTCCTGCAGACGGAGAGCAAGATACTCCTCTCGCTGCTCCTTCTCCTGGTTGAAGCGAGAAAGTAGCTGCTCCTTCAGAAGATCCTTTTCCTCTGAGTGTTTCTCTTGGAGCTTTCTGATCTCTTTTTTGTGATCGTCGCTCAGACGCTCCATCGTACGCCTCTGTTCCTGCTCCACTTCCTGACGTACACATGTGAAAGACTCTCTGCTTTCTCGCATCAACGAGTCCTGTTGTTTGGCCTTCAGTGTCTGCAATCTTTCTTTCTCTGACGTCAGCTCCACCTCGAGCTTCGCCTGCAGATGTTCCAATCGTTTCTTCTTACGAACTTTGAGTTTCTCTACGGTTTTGGCCAATTCTTCTTTCAGGTCAGTCTTCACCTTCTCAAGAATAGAGTCATTTTCTTCCCGTATTTCACTTTTCTGCCGTTCTCGTTCGGCTTTGAGGGTTTCTTGAATCTTTTCAAACTCTTTTGCCGATTCTTCCTTCTTCGTACACCTAGACACCCTCACCTTGCTCTTCCTGCTCTCCTCGAGGTCAGACGTGTCTCTCCTGCTCTGCTTGCCCTGACTGTCTTTTTTCCTAGACTTCTGCCTGTATACAACTTGAAAAATGATGGAATTAATCAACTGGTCCCTCAACGCAATTGATACTATTTTTTCATCACGTAAAGGCGGTTCTGGAGATGCCGTTTGCCCGGATGGTACGGCGGCTGCTGGGTACGTTTTTGACAACTGGCAAAAGTGGCACCCCGTTTGTCTGTCGGGATTGTCCATCGAGGACATTGAGGATATATACATTTTTGGATTTATGGTAGCAGGGTTCCTCCTGATTGGATTTGGAGTTGGCTTGATCTACCGCAAAGTTGGAGGGCTGTCCACTCAGAAGATTTACGAGCGGCTGTCCGCGGAAAACAAGGAGAGTTTCCGCGAGTTGGTCAGAGTCGTGGTCGAGGGCACAGTGGGGACACAACGGGGTGTGAGTCGGATCGAACGTTCCCTTAATGACCTGGGAGTGAGATCTTTGGATGGACTTAAACGCGTGGAAGGATTGATTGAAGGACTTGGGCCTCACGGTGGAACCTCGTACTGACGTGGTCAACTCCGGATAACGGTGAACGGAGGGTCCAGTTCCAGTATAATTTGGACATATTGGCTTTAGTTTACACTGCCTTTCATTGATCAGCTAAAAGTGCTTATTCAAATTTCCCACAAGGACATGTGTTGTTTTGTCTCCAAGGTTTGCAGGCACCTGCGCTATCTTTGTCCTTCACATTCCACCACCACACACGGCCACTCAAGGCTGACACTGGACTCTTATCTATCTCAGACTCACAACCCAGAACACCAGTTACAGTCCCCCCCCCTACAAGTCTGCCTCTCTCTTTTTCAGTCTATGGTGGTCTTCCCCTCCACCTCCCCCACCCACACTCCCCTCTGACGCGCTATATTGGACGAGGCGGGCCAGAGTGATGACTTCCCATTAAAAAGATCCGCATGTTTTTCCACATGTACCGTGTCTCTCCCCATGTTTGTTGAAATATATGTCTGTTTTGCTCTATGCTGTTGAATAACTGTTATTCTACTGTTTGTCGCATGGCGCCGTAAAGATGGCGCCGTGGCAAGAGCTCTGGTGTGTGTCGTCTTCTGGTGCACACCGGGGTAGTCTTGCACAGTTTTCCAATGTGGTTTTACTGCAAATGGCAAATAAATGAATCTGAATCTGAATCTGAATCTGAATCCTTGTTGAGGTGAGAAAGTAGCTGCTCTTTCAGAAGATCCTTGTCCTCTTGGAGTTTTCTGATCTCTTTCTGGTGATCTTCTCTCAGACGCTCCAACATACGCCTCTGTTCCTGCTCCATTTCCTGACGTACAGATGTGAAGGACTCTTTCTCTGACGTCAGCTCCACCTCGAGCTCCGCCTGCAGATGATCCAATCGTTTCTTCTTACGAGCTTTGAGTTTCTGAACAGTTTTGGCCAATTCTTCTTTCAACTCACTCTTCACCTTCTCAAGAATAGTGTAATTTTCTTTCTGTATTTCATGTTCTTGCCGTTTTCTATCGGCTTTGAGGTTTTCTTGAAGCTCTTCCAACTCTTTTGCCGATTGTTCCTTCTCCTGGTTGAAGCGAGAAAGAAGCTGCTCCTTCAGAAGATCCTTTTCCTCTGAGTGTTTCTCTCGCAGCTTTCTGATCTCTTTCTCGTTATCTTCGCTCAGACACTCCAACGTATGCCTCTGTTCCTGCTCCATTTCCTGACGTACAGATGTAAAGGACTCTCTGCTTTCTTGCATCAACGAGTCCTGTTGTTTGGCCTTCAGTGTCTGCAATCTTTCTTTCTCTGACGTCAGCTCCACCTCGAGCTCCGCCTGCAGATGTTCCAATCCTTTCTTCTTACGAGCTTTGAGTTTCTGAACAGTTTTGGCCACTTCTTCTTTCAATTCAGTCTTCACCTTCTCAACAATAGTGTTATTTTCTTCCCGTATTTCACGTTCTTGCCGTTTTCTATCGGCTTTGAGGGTTTCTTGAAGGTCTTCTAACTCTTTCTCAGATTCTTCCTTCATTCTTTTCTCTTCTGCTTCCCTTTTTTCCAACAGTGACTGATACAGAGACTCAAGTCTGTCTTTGCTCTCTGCCTCTAGGCGTTCCTCCTCCTCCCTTTTGAACTTCTCCAGCTCATTCTGACACTTGTTGAATGCTTCTGAACTCACTGGAGATGTCGCTGTCGGTGCAGGCTTCTCACTATTGGATTCAAAATCAGATTCATACATGGACTCAGCACTTAAGTTTGTCAGAATCTCATCTTCCATCCATGATAAAGGAGTTGGTGAAGGTGGCAGTGGACTGGGTCTTGAAGGAGTCGGACAAACTAACCCCAGCTCTGAGCTTTCTTCCTGAGATACATGACCTCCTGGTGGATCACACACAAGTGCTCCAGTGTTGGATTGGAGGTTCAACCATTCTTCATCGCTTTGGTCCAGAGAATGGTTCAGAAAGTCTAGACTGGCCTCATGATCTGTCTCGTCATGTTGTGGTGAAGAAGCCTGACACATTATTTCTCCCTCTGAGGCTGATCCATCCTGTAGAACATCGGCAAGGTCAGCAATGTCAATATGAAGGTTCATGGATTCAAAAATGTCCAATCCGTCGTCTTCACTCGTCTCATCTCTCTTGACATCACTTTCTTGAGACGAGATGGGTCTGGCTTTTTGGAAAGAGCGAGGCCTCTTCTCCAGTTCATCCTGACACTTGTTGAATGCTTCTGAACTCACTGGAGATGTTGTTGTAGGTGCAGGCTTCTCACTGTCGGATTCCAAATCAGAGTCACACCCGAACTCAGTACTTATGTCTGTCAGAATCTCATCTCCCATCCATGATAAAGGAGTTGGTGAAGGGGGCAGTGGACTGGGACTTGAAAGAGTCGGACAAACTAACACCAGCTCTGAGCTTTCTTCCTGAAATACATGACCTCCTGGTGGATCGCACACAAGTGCTCCAGTGTTGGATTGGAGGTTTAACCATTCTTCATAGCTTTGGTTCGGAGAAGCGTTCAGAAAGTCTAGACCAGCCTCATGATCCATCTCGTCATGTTGTGGTGAAGAAGCCTGACATATTAATTCTCCCTCTGAGGCTGATGCATCCTGTAGAACATCTGCAAGATCTGCAATGTCAATATGAAGGTTCATGGATTCAAAAAGGTCCATTCCGTCGTCTTCACTCGTCTCTTCTCTCTTGATATCACTTTCTTGAGACGAGATGGGTCTGGCTTTTAGGAAAGTGCGAGGCCTATTCCCTGGTTGTGCAGTTTCCATATTCTTCAGTTCTTTCTTTTCTATCGGAGCCAACGTCACATGCTTTTTCTTGCTTTTCCGTTTGCGAATTTCTCCTGGGTTCTTGCCATCTTGGCGCAGAAGGCCCTCGGAGTTGGTGTCCAGTGGGGGCACTGGTGAACTCACTGGAGATGTCGCTGTCGGTGCAGGCTTCTCACTGTCGGATTCTAAATCAGATTCATATGTGGACTCAGCACTTATGTTTGTCAGAATCTCATCTCCCATCCATGATAAAGGAGTTGGTGAAGGTGGCAGTGGACTGGGTCTTGAAGGTGTCGGACAAACTAACCCCAGCTCTGAGCTTTCTTCCTGAGATACATGACCTCCTAGTGGATCGCACACAAGTGCTCCAGTGTTGGATTGGAGGTTCAACCATTCTTCATCGCTTTGGTCCAGAGAATGGTTCAGAAGGTCTAGACTGGGCTCATGATCCGTCTCGTCTTGTTGTGGTGAAGAAGCCTGACACATTATTTCTCCCTCTGAGGCTGATCCATCCTGTAGAACATCTGCAAGATCTGCAATGTCAATGTTCATGGATTGTAAAAGTTCCAAAAAGTCGTCTTCACTCGTGTCTTCTCTCTTGACATCACTTTCTTGAGACGATATGGGTCTGGCTTTTAGGAAAGAGCGAGGCCTTTTCTCTGGTTTTGCAGTTTCCATATCAAACTCTTGTTCTTTCTTTTTCATTGGAACAAAACTTATCTTTTGGTCGTTTCTCTTTTGTCGGCCGACTTTGTCCTGTGCAAGTGAAGGCAGTGGTGGAAGAAGAGTTCTGACCGTCAAAAGGTCCTCTGACTCCACATCTTCTTCCAACTCTGATATTGCTTTATGTTTTTGGAGATATAATTGCCCATTCTCAGCATTATTCTTTCCTATAATATCTTTGGTAGTTTCTGGATGTGCACCCTGCAGGTGCTCCACTTTCTCCATTGGAGCCAACGTTACACGCTTTTTTTTACTTTTCCGTTTGTGGTTCTTGCCGTCTTGGCACAGAAGGCCCTGGAAGTTGGTGCCCAGTGAAGGTAGTGGTTCCAGCCGACCGGACTTGATCGGAGGCAGTTTTGGTAGACCCCCTGGTTTTGGAAGCCCTAAAGCAGAACTCATCGTAATAGCTACAGATACGGTCACTTATAAATAATAAAGTTGTTTCCCTCTGTCTCTCTCTGAGTTTTGTTGGTTGGATGTTCTGGTGTACTCCTAACAAAGCCTCTAAAGGTTCTATTTGATGATGTAATGATTCTAAAGGAGTTGTCATGGCAACCATTGCTATGGTCACCGACGGCAACCCAGTATTGTATGGAGTTGGAGAGTTTGTTGCCGTTTAAATACATGTTATTATTAAATCTTCAAGGCTTATGTGCTGGGAACGGAACCGCTGGTTTTACAGGACTTGATGGAAACACAATTGATAAATATAGAACCATCAAACTCTGAGTTTTTATTCTTTACAGGTTCAGTCTCAGTCACATGCTCCTCAGTTTCCTTTTGCGTTTAAAAAAAAAAGCTGCTGTGCCTTGTGAAGAAACAAAATAATAAAGGTGAGGGTTAGGTGTAACGTGGTTGATGAAGGCAAAGGCCCATAATTCAAGAAGACAAAAAAAATATGATTTAATTATTAGGGCTGGGACTCGATTAAAAAAATTAATGTAATTAATTAGAGGCTTTGTAATTAATGAATCTCGATTAATCGCATTTTAATCACATGTAAATATTTGTCCTGAGAACAGTGAGAAGTATTTTTTTTTCACATGGATTTTTAGTTTACCATTAAATAATGACTGAATACATAAGCTTAAGCAACACATGTTCATTGTGGATGATCAGACGGACTTCTTTCCCATCCAATGGGCTCTATGCACGGGAAGGCGTGACGTCATTTCCTGTTAACAAAGCACAGCCCGTTCACTTCTTGCCTATGCTATTTTATGGCTTTTAGGTGGGTTTTAGTGACGTTTTTTAGTAATTAGATTGATACATTCAGCGGAGACTGACCCAAAAGTGTCGCTGTGCTTTCTCTCTGAGGTAGAAAGCACAGCTTTCTATCTTCAGTTTGAACCAAACTTTGGGATGGAAGTTGATTCGTCATCTAATTTGCATATTGTGACGTCATCTAGGTGGCGGCCAGATTGGAAAATGTACATTTTTGTATAAAGATTTCAAAAAGCTGTATCTTGGGAGTTTTTTTAGATCAGGGAATACTATCGACAGTCAATGTGAAATATCTTTAGTATGAAATGAATTTGGGATAGAAATAAATTCCCTGATCCAGATTATAAATCATGTTTTAGCACATATGGGGCCATATGGAATTGAAGGTCTTTGAAAATAATACAGTGATCAAGACAGCACTCTTTATAGGTTACAGTCATGAAATCTGGAAATTGGTTTCCCTTTCAAAGAAGTGGTCTACTGTAAACCCCAAAAAGTTCAGTGAACTCAAAAATGTTCTCGTAACTGATTACACAAACAACTTTTGAGTTCATCTTTTGAATGTTTAAGTTGATTCCAACCCAAACGTTTTAAATACATAGTGCTTATTTTAAAGTCAAATGTTTTACTTACCACTAACCTAATATTCATAGTTAGGTAAAGTATTTATTTTGTCCTCTTTACACTCAAATTTAATGCAACTTAACTCATAAAAATTACATTCATACAAATTATATTTTTATAACTACCCATTTAAATATCAATGAATGGACTTGACACAAGAAACAAAATAACAACATTTATTTGAAAAATATTGCCCTTTAAGACATTAAGTATTTAACACAGTGTGGTTCACAAAACATCCCAAACACGAGATTGGCTTCAGCACATACAGAACAGAATCTGCTAGTTCTGAGTTTGTCAAAAGTATCTTGCACCATTTAAACAAGATTAAAAAACAAATGAACCCTAAAAGAAACCAAGATTAAACCTATGACCGAGATACATTTAGAATATACAATAAAATATTTGGCCAGAGTTGAGTTGCTTTGTTCAGTCAACGAGTCCCAACTCCCAGACACCAGCTTTGGGCAGACGTTAGATTTTCCATCAGCCATTTCCACTTATCTTCACTTCACAAATAGTCCAGCCATATTTATACTCCGAAAGGTTCTCGGACATTTTCAGGCATTATAGCAAGGGTGTTAAACTCATTTTTGTCTGGGGCCGAATAAAAAGACAAGAAACTGGTCGGGGGCAAAAGAATAGAAGGGATTTCCTTTTCAAATGTTTTTTTTACATTAAAGGTATTTGGACATTTTTCTTAAAACAAAATATGTTTATTGTTTAGATTTTACCAAAACTGAATCAAATATAAAGTGAAACACCTTGTTTTATATTTAATCATTTAAAGTCTAATAATGCCTAGGGTTACTTTCAGAAGTTCAAAAGACAAAAATATTGTGCTGCACCAGATTTGATGTAAATGCAAATTCTGTATTGTACTGTTGTGTTATTGAGCAAAAGATACACACACACACACACACAGTCCATGTCTGTGTTGTGATCAATCAACGTGTTTAAGATCTTGTGTCTCCCACTCACTTAACCTTTTGCTCGTCTCTTTGATTCCATGTTGCGCGTTGACTTAACGTGTACTGTAGCTGCAGATACATCAATATCACTTAGCATGCGCGGCACCTGTCTTTGGAAAGGTCGTTTTTATGCACGCAGAGGTATTTTTGTGTATAATATTCAAGATGGGATCATGATAAAATGGAAACATATACTAAAGGAGTCTTGTTCAATGGCAATTTGAGTGTATTTGAGACTTCCCCTTTCAATTGCCCTCAACCTGGGAGGTGACCTGGCAAGAGCCAGATTGATGATTGTGTAGAACTCTAACGCGTTCTCCGCGATATCAATCTGGGATTTCTCACGGAGAATCCTTTCGGGGAAAGGAGGGATAAGCAGCAGAATACTTGAAGCTGATTGGGCGAAGTGACGCTGTGTGCCCGCCTACCAAGGTTTGACTTACGTAGGTAAAAATGCACAAACATCTTTGCCGTCCAGAAATGCACAAAGCGCCTCTCGCTGTTCATCTTTCAAAAAAGAAATTGGAGATTCTGCTAAAACTGACTTGATAGCCTCAGCTACGCGTCCGTCCTCCTGCGTAGCCATGTTTGTTTTGCTTCGGCCCGGCACTTCTTGCTTTCGTCAAACCCGGATATCCCGCCCTAAACCCCCAGACTGGCGCGTGATTGGCTCGCACACCCAGTGGTTCGACTCAAAAAGTGTAAGCGGGAGGGGTACAAGATGTATTCTCGAGTGTTTGTGAACTCACAAATACCGCGAGAATTCAGCTTGCAGGCAAGGTTACTTGGGAGGAGGATGTGAATAAACCTTGGACAATTGACTGTCGCTGGGCTTATGAGAGAGAGAGGAGCAAGATCTGTAGTGTCCATCCAATCCCCGTTGAAAATATTTGATTAAGAAATACATTGTCTAAAGCAGACTTGGAGATTATTAGACAGCTGTAACGGCCCGCTCACTGGGCTTTCTGAACAATCTTTAAAACAGCTGCAGTATATTCCTGACTAGAACCAGGAAGTACAATCACATTAGTGCAGTTCTCAGGTCTCTGCACTGGCCTTTTCACACTCCACACTCCACAATATACAGTGATTATTTCTGATTTTATTGTTTCTTGTCTTGTTTTGTTAAGCAATCTCGGTTGCTTTGTGTATTAAATGTGCTATAGAAATACACGTTCCTTACCGTTACGAATGGATAAACAAACGTTTGACTACGGCTATAATTTAGACTCGACTATCAATATGCCATAGTGTTGCATAGAGACTTATATTTTTAAGATAATAACTCAAGGGCATAGAAGTGGCTCGATTTAACTGTATCGATTCCAATTTTTAGGAGTGCTACATGTGTCTTTTTGTATCTTTCTTATCGTTTGTGTGTGTGTGTGTGTGTGTGTTTGTGTTGTATTGAATGAGTGAGAGGGGTTACATCTACTTTTTTACAACACCTTTTTTAAATATCTTTTAAACCTGCAATAAAAAAGAGCCACAGCCCGGGACACGCTGTTGGGACCGTATAGCCACATTATGGTTCATTATAATTATGATTTGTTTAAGTTACTGCACTGCACCACTGTTATATTCCCTGTATAATATGCAGTGCCAAGCTTTCAAGATCACAAGGCGGTTGTTGAGCAGTGGGAGTCATTTGTTTTATCTCGTGCGGATCCCTGGAGACGATTCTGGGGCCGACATGTCCCGCACTTCCTTCACAGAACAGCAGCTGACAATTCACACATGGTAAATCTGACGGGAGAGAGGTAAGAGTACTGGTCCCGGGGGGCAGGAGGAGAAGAGGGGACACAGGTACGGAGTTAGAGGGAAGAAGTAATGACCGGTGAGAAGTTACGTGTAGATCAATAAGTCTAACACAACATGAAAATAAAATGTTTTTGATTCTTGCCGTTTTATGAGCAGACATCTCTAAGAATGTCCCCACTGCAGGACTAATCACAGTTCTCTTATACTTGTATTTGTATTTACAAGTATACCATTTTTTACATCTAATTATTCATTGCAATGAGTCTATACGCATTTTTCAAACATTTTAACATGTTCACAGCCAAGAGCGATTTCTGCTGGTATAGTAAACTAGCATGAGCAAAACACATGCAAGGTTTTTTTACATTTATTTTTATTTTATTTTGTATTGTCCGTATAAAGACTCATTCATTCATTCAAGGCAAGTTTATCCGTAAAGCACAGTTCATACACAAGGCAACTCAAAGTGCATGTTTAGCTCTGACTCTGGGCACCAGCAGGAGGCCAGTCCCTGTGCTCCTCAGAGTCCGAGTCGGTTCATATGGCACTAACATGTCACAGATGTACTTTGGAGCGAGGTCATGGAGAGACTTGTACATGAGCAGAGCGGTTTTAAAAATCTATTCCTGACCCTAGGACTGGACTAATGTGGTTTGAACTTCCTGGTTCTAGTCAGTGCTGCAGCATTTTGAATAAACTGAAGTTGTTTCACAGCCTGTTTGGAGAGACCTGTGAGCAGGCCATAACAGCAGTCTAACCTACTAGAGGCAAAAGCATGGATAAGGTCTGCTTTAGACACCATGTTTTTGATCCTGGCAA